CTGGTGATTGGCAGTTTTAGCACCAAGCAAGCCTCTGTGAATGCCTGACATTGCTGAAACAAACCATTTACGATAAAACAACAAGCTGACGATGCTTTTGTCTTTGTCTGTGATTGTAAACATACTTTCAGGAGAGGCCAGAAAGACAGTTGTTTCATGGTACTTCTGTGGGGAATTTTAAAACAACAATGTTGTGTGTTTTTATGTTTTGTTTTTAATGTATGTAATAATTACATCATGCCTATGTAATTTCGGTTTCTGCTCATTGTAAGTGCATTCCTCAGGAGGTTAGGATTGTGAGACTCCTGATTAGCGTCCCCTCTTGATTCCCCCTCTGCCTTGCTGCTAACGCTAGTTATGCTATGGCATTGTTGAATACTCGTTTCTGATTGGCTTGAAGGGCATTCTAGAGCATGCATTATTTCCTTATAACGCATGGTATAATTGCACAGTATAATTCAAAGGCTATGAAGTTCATTCTTACATGTTATATTTTTTTAGCAGCTTTTGAAGGCAAAATTCGAATTGAAAACATTATTGGCATTGTTGAATTCGATTTTCATAATAGCAAGCTAGGATGATGGTTTGGTTAGCTAAGCTGGCAAGCCTGTTTGGTTACCAAGGCAACTACTGTAGCTATCTAGCTAGCGAGTAAACGTGCTAACTACTTCAGTGGATGTTGTCACATTTCTACTGGCAAATTAATACATTTCTAGTGGCAAATATGATAAATTATAGCCATGGTATAAAAGGGATAATCAACTCAGGGCTCAATGCGTTCTCTGGAACCATGGAAGGTTAGTTCCACTCCGCTAACGTGTCGTGGAACACACCTTCCACGTCATGCACTATTTTCCAGAGAACGCATAGCCCCTCGTTGATTATCCCTTACCTATCCATCTGTCTGTCTGTCGCCTTGTCTGTCTAGCCATCCCTGTCAGCCAGTCAGTCCTGTCTGTCTGTCTGTTGCTCTGATAGAACTGTCTGTCTATGTCTGTTTGCCTTCCTGTCTGTCATTGGTCCAATCTCAGTCTCAGCCAATCACGCGCTGCTGACCATGCTGCTTCTAACCAATCGGAGGTGATTAGCCATATCTGCCATACTATATTACAGTTTACACTGCATGTAACTCACAATACACACACACATACAAACCCAAAAGCAAACCACTCTGGCTTAACCATCATTTGATATTAACAGTATTCATCATGAATTGGATTTTTATTTCATTTCTGCTCTGTTACATTTTTATTTGATGTAAATTAGGTACAATCTGTTTTAATTTTGACATAAATACTTCAGCAAAACAAAACCTGACACATGGATTTTTGTTGCTCTATTTCAGTTGGTTATGATTTTATTTCTTTTTGATATAAGAAATTAAATTGATTTTTATAGTAGAAACGCATGGTGGCTCTGACCTTCATTTAGAGAGAGCGAGAGAGAGCGACCGAAAGAGAGAGAGAGAGAGAGAGAGAGAGAGAGAGAGACCGAAAGAGAGAGAGAGAGACCGAAAGAAAGAAAGAAGGATAGCCCGAAAGAGAGAGAGAAAGAAGATATGTTTAAATTTGGGTCACATTGTCATTTTGTTTATTAACGGGGAAGTGCAGTCATCTTTAAGACAACATACATCAAATATCAGGCACTATTTCATTTTATCCTTCTGACAAAAAAGTACAAGCCTTTTTCTATTCATTGATTTGTAAATGTGTATAGAAATATCTGCTATAAGAGAATTGTCTCGTACAACTTTAAGGTAATGTAAGTAGTGTAAATATGGGCGGTCCCTTTTGTGGAAATGTCATATTGAAACACAGAGTCTCAGCGTGCACAATCATTCTGCTTACTCAATGGCTATTAAGGTAATTACGGTTCTAAAACAGGAAGCAAAGAGAGCAAGCATAGAGAACATGGTTAGACTCATAGGAATGCATTCTTTACCCACCAACAAATGCAAGTAAGCTAAACAGTCAGTTTAGAAACATCCTCATACATTCGTCACTTGCTAAGCAAGACAGTCTTGTCAGTTATATAACATTCAGACCAACTTTACTGTTGCTTTCAACTTCTGAGCAAGATAAAGTTCCTTCTGGTTCTTTGTCAGTGGTTTGAAATAATTCAGTTTAACTTGGGAGTGTTTAAGACTTAAGTGGTAATTATGTGGTAATTAAGTTGTACGACTGAAGTGGTAATTGTACTGTAGTAGGTCATAAAGGTGAAGAGGTAATAGAGAGCAAATACAATGAATGTTTTTACCCGCTAAAAATGAATGTTTTTAAACGCTAAAAACGTTTTGGAAGACACTTGGCCTAAGCTCATTTACAGTGGGGAAAAAAAGTATTTAGTCAGCCACCAATTGTGCAAGTTCTCCCACTTAAAAAGATGAGAGAGGCCTGTAATTTTCATCATAGGTACACGTCAACTATGAAAGACAAATTGAGATTTTCTTTCTCCAGAAAATCACATTGTAGGATTGTTTATGAATTTATTTGCAAATTATGGTGGAAAATAAGTATTTGGTCACCTACAAACAAGCAAGATTTCTGGCTCTCAAAGACCTGTAACTTCTTCTTTAAGAGGCTCCTCTGTCCTCCACTCGTTACCTGTATTAATGGCACCTGTTTGAACTTGTTATCAGTATAAAAGACACCTGTCCACAACCTCAAACAGTCACACTCCAAACTCCACTATGGCCAAGACCAAAGAGCTGTCAAAGGACACCAGAAACAAAATTGTAGACCTGCACCAGGCTGGGAAGACTGAATCTGCAATAGGTAAGCAGCTTGGTTTGAAGAAATCAACTGTGGGAGCAATTATTAGGAAATGGAAGACATACAAGACCACTGATAACCTCCCTCGATCTGGGTCTCCACGCAAGATCTCACCCCGTGGGGTCAAAATGATCACAAGAACGGTGAGCAAAAATCCCAGAACCACACGGGGGGACCTAGTGAATGACCTGCAGAGAGCTGGGACCAAAGTAACAAAGCCTACCATCATTAACACACTACGCCGCCAGGGACTCAAATCCTGCAGTGCCAGACGTGTCCCCCTGCTTAAGCCAGTACATGTCCAGGCCCGTCTGAAGTTTGCTAGAGTGCATTTGGATGATCCAGAAGAGGATTGGGAGAATGTCGTATGGTCAGATGAAAATAAAATATAACTTTTTGGTAAAAACTCAACTCGTCGTGTTTGGAGGACAAAGAATGCTGAGTTGCATCCAAAGAACACCATACCTACTGTGAAGCATGGGGGTGGAAACATCATGCTTTGGGGCTGTTTTTCTGCAAAGGGACCAGGACGACTGATCCGTGTAAAGGAAATAATTAATGGGGCCATGTATCGTGAGATTTTGAGTGAAAACCTCCTTCCATCAGCAAGGGCATTGAAGATTAAACGTGGCTGGGTCTTTCAGCATGACAATGATCCCAAACACACCGCCCGGGCAACGAAGGAGTGGCTTCGTAAGAAGCATTTCAAGGTCCTGGAGTGGCCTAGCCAGTCTCCAGATCTCAACCCCATAGAAAATCTTTGGAGGGAGTTGAAAGTCCGTGTTGCCCAGCGACAGCCCCAAAACATCACTGCTCTAGAGGAGATCTGCATGGAGGAATGGGCCAAAATACCAGCAACAGTGTGTGAAAACCTTGTGAAGACTTACAGAAAACGTTTGACCTGTGTCATTGCCAACAAAGGGTATATAACAAAGTATTGAGAAACTTTTGTGATTGACCAAATACTTATTTTCCACCATAATTTGCAAATAAATTCATTAAAAATCCTACAATATGATTTTCTGGGTTTTCTTTCTCATTTTGTCTGTCATAGTTGACGTGTACCTATGATGAAAATTACAGGCCTCTCTCATCTTTTTAAGTGGGAGAACTTGCACAATTGGTGGCTGACTAAATACTTTTTTCCCCACTGTATATCACAGCACTGAGAAGCAAACTTTAGATACTTTAGTGATTAAATCTGGGATTCAGATTATTCGTATTTTTTACAGTATTTGAATGTTATCATACAAAGGCAATACAAAATACAATCTAACAAAAAAAGCATTTAAAGATACAAATGATGGCTGAGTCACAGAAATAATACTATCAAAAAGGCACTTTTTTAGCACAATAGGAAATGACCCGAGAGTAGAGGAAGTTTGGTTTGGCTAGCTTGTCCAGAAAAGACTCCCAATGATCTAAAGTCTCTATAACAATCATCTTCAATCCTTCTTTAATCTGTGGACAGAGACATCCTGTGAAGGCAAAACCCTGGGCCCTATTCATTAGGTAGGGCAGAGAACCGAAAACGTTTTGCAACGGAAAATGAAAATTACGATTTGTATTGGTCAAGTCCAGGTAGTCCCTCACTGTTTCATTCTGTTTTCTTCCATTTGGTGCCTTATGAAAACAACCCAGTTCTATTTGAAGTGGAAATCCCAGCAGCAGAGTCAACATATGCTGTCATTTTATCCAAGCGACTTGACTGTCTCCCAGTCTCAATCTTGCTTGGATTGCACAATCTGAGGAAATTCAGGTTCATGGAAATAAGATCCATGTTAGCAGGCACTTGGCAGGAGGCACTTGTGGTTCCATGTCCACCTTATGCAGTTGAAGTGTCCTTCCTTCCTGTTTGTGTGGGGTGAGCCGCCCCTTTAAGGGCTCAACTCACCACTATACTCTTCTTCTTTGGACTCTCTCTGCCCAGTCCTGTTCTTAATGCCAACACACTGGTGTTCGCTGTAGACCTCTGTTATCTGTGTGTGTGCATGTGTTTGTGTGTTTGCAGTGGGAGAGGAGGGTAGGCTAACACACATGATGTCTGTGCTACTACAGTTATACCTGCTTGTTGAGAGACAGTGTCCATAAAGGATATCCATAAATAAATAAATACCCCCGTAAAACAAGGGCCATTGGGTCGGTCCTGTCAGCTTTTTAGTCTCTGTGCAGCCTCGGGTGGGTGAGACCACCGGGACACATGGAAGAGGGGGGGGGGGTTTGGTTATAAAGGGAAGGGGTGAGAGGGAGGAAGAACGAGTGGTTTGTTTAGGGTCTCTTCCAGCTGCTCCGGATCAGCGTGTCGTGCCGCAGGAAAGGCTGGCTGCGGAGATCTGTGAGTGGGTGAGGGAGGGCGAGAGAGGGGTCACGCAGGTTAACTGGGAAGTCAAACTCTGGTCCAGTGGCGTCATGCTCAGGTTTGAGGTTGTTGATTAAGGAACCTATATTTGCAGTGCTTATTCTAACAGCATATTTCTGCAAATATGGTCTAAATTATATTTAGAATTTTCAATTTTACTTATATGTTGTCAAATGGGTAGCCAATTGAATGTGGGTATCCATTAACCAAAAAGAGAATGACGCCTTTAATTGTCAACTTAAAACTGACAGAGAAATATAGATTTTTCAATCCAAGGCTATGGGGGTTTAGTTATTCAAACAAACCCCTATGTCAACAATGTAGGGAACAAAACAATAATCAAACGTTATAATAATATCACAGTTGTAATCAACAAGCTCTGTGAGGTACTGTGCTATAGAGACGCTAAATATTCATAAAACTAATCTAGCCTGTCGCTTGAGAGGAGCTCTCATCTCCTTCAATGTTTATACTATCATGATTATGACAGTGTTATGTAGCCCTTAAAATGGAGGGTTAAAGGAGTGTTACCAATGTTTCTGTCCATTTGTCTGAATAAATGTGAATTTTGTCTGAATATGTCTGTGTGTGTGTGTGGATATGTGCAGGCCTCAACAGAGCTGGTTGACCAACGAGCTGTTCAGCAAACCGCAAGTCACAGTTACCAGGGACAAACACAACATTGAGACATGTCATCAACAGGTGACAGACTGGTGAGCGGTGGATGGACAGAACACTGGACACAGCATGCGACATGGAAGACGAGAGGTGAGGTGGTGATGATGGAGGGAGCTGAGTAGAAGAAATTACTGTCATGGTGGATGAATGTAGATTAAATCTATAGCGTGAAAGATCCGCGCTATAGCGCAATTTAAATTAAAAGGCAATGTTCTCGCGTTCGCGGAGTCTGCATTCACGGGAAAACGCTGCATATATAGGCTCAATTGGAAACTACCTTAAAGTGGCAATCAGCAGTAGAAACAATGACAAAGCGTCGTCCCTGCCCCTGTTTTGGTAAAAAGCTGAGGGATGGGGCTGGAGAAATGTAATCACTCTCAAATTCATAAACAGAGCTATTAATGCAAGGACTGACCATCCATGATATCAAAAGGGTAGATTTAACCATGTTTTGAGGCTATATACATTTACATTTACTTTGTTTACAAACATTGCAGTAAAACAAGCTTGTGATGGGGTATGACAGTTGAACTAAGCTCATGAGGCATTTATAAGTTACACTACTTGACCAAAAGTATGTGGACACCTGCTTGTCGAACATCTCATTCCAAAATCATGGGCATTAATATGGAGTTGGTCCCCCATTTGCTGCTATAACAGCCTCAACTCTTCTGGGAAGGCTTTCCACTATATGTTGGAACATTGCTGCGGGGACTTGCTTCCATTCAGCCACGAGCATTAGGGAGGTCGGGCACTGATGTTGGGCGATTAGGCCTGGCTCACAGTCGGCGTTCCAATTCATCCCAAAGGTGTTCGATGGGGTTGAGGTCAGGGCTCTGTGCAGGCCAGTCAAGTTCTTCCACACCGATCTCGACAAACAATTTCTGTATGGACCTTGCTTTGTGCACAGGGGCATTGTCATGCTGAAACAGGAAAGGGCCTTCCCCAAACTGTTGCCACAAAGTTGGAAGCACATAATTGTCTAGAATGTCATTGTATGCTATAGAGTTAAGATTTCCCTTCACTGGAACTAAGGGGCCTAGCCCAAACCATGAAAAACAGCCCCAGACCATTATTCATCCTCCACCAAACTTAACAGTTGGCACTATGCATTCGGGCAGGTAGTGTTCTCCTGGCATCCGCCAAACCCAGATTCGTCTGTCAGGACTGCCAGATGGTGAAGCGTGATTCATCACTCCAGAGAACGCGTTTCCACTGACGGCGAGCTTTACACCACTCCAGCCGACGCTTGGCATTGCGCATGGTGATCTTAGGCTTGTGTTCTTGTGCTGACGTTGCTTCCAGAGGCAGTTTGGAACTCGATAGTGAGTGTTGCAACCGAGGACAGACAATTTTTACGCGCCACACGCTTCAGCATTCGGCAGTCCTGTTCTGTGAGCTTGTGTGGCCTAACACTTCACAGCTGAGCCGTTGTTGCTCCTAGACATTTCCACTTCACAATAACATCACTTACAGTTGACCGGGGCAGCTCTAGCATGGCAGAAATTTGACGAACTGACTTGTTGGAAAGGTGGCATCCTATGACGGTGCCACATTGAAAGTCACTGAGCTCTTCAGTAAGGCCATTCTACTGCCAATGTTTGTCTATGGAGATTGCATGGATGTGTGCTCGATTTTATACACCTGTCAGCAACGGGTGTGTCTGAAATAGCCAAATCCATTAATTTGAAGGGGTGTCCACATACGTTTGTATACATAGTGTACAGTGGCTTGCGAAGGTATGTAATTAAATGTAATCGCCCTACTACCGCTGGATCTGTTTTCCTAAGAGGTAAAGTTGATGGAAAAGAAAATTACCTGGCATGAACTTGAAGTAGTATTCTGGGGGATGGGACTGTTTGGATTACTGAGGGGATGTATCCAGCTATATAACTATTAAGCATGTTACTGTAAGCTACATGTTTGACTATCTGGCTGTGGTGCAGTAAAGCAGGCCTGGCTGTTGTAAAGCATATCTGACTGCTTTGCTGTGGCTGTTGTAAAAGCATATCTGATTGATGTGCAGTAAAGCAGTCCTGGCTGTTGTAAAGCATATCCGAATGCTTTGCTGTACAGTAAAGCATGTTCCTGTTTGCATCTGAAGCACTGGGCTGGCTGAAGCAGCTGACATCACTGTAGCAGCACCATAGACTGTGTAGCTAGCAGCACACAGCATGGCAGCAGGCCGCAGCACACAGCATGGCAGCAGGCCGCAGCACACAGCATGGCAGCAGGCCGCAGCACACAGTACGAGCATGGCCAGGGCCAAGCAAACAGGCTTCAGGCTACCTTCCTTACCCTGCAGCATTTAGAAGTGGCATATACTGTCATTAATCTTCTGTTCAGCTGTCCAGAGGGGTAGAATGAATACAGGGTGATGGTTGAGGAAAGGTGGTTACCAGGTTAGAGGGGAACCAACCCATCCACATTAGTTCATTTCATGGAACCACAAGGCATTGTTAGCAGTTGTAGCCAAACCTCTTTATTACTATAGTGTACTTTTAAGATTTATAAAAAATAAATTTAAAAAAGTATAAAACCTGAAAAAAAATGTACATACAGTATATATTACATACCGTAATGTAGCTTTCCATGCCCATGCTATTATGCTAGCTGCAACTTCATATTGGTCATATTGAGCCATATGATTATATTTCGTGGTAGTAAATAATTATGTATTCACATTTTAACATTAGCTTTTGATACAGTCTTAGCAGGTTCAGAAATCCAAAGAGGTTTGGCTGTCTGACTTCTACCCTGGTAATTCAGGTAGAGGTCTTTTGAACACATCACTTGCCCAGCAATAAGAGTCGAGGGCCAGGATTCAAACAAACTGCACTGTGCTGAACTGTTAAATTGCCACCTAAGTTAGTAAAGGAAGGGTTAAGGAGTAGTCTTAGGGAGTGACAGGGTGGGAGGTCATGCTGCATGCACAGTGGTCAGGTAGAAGGGGGGGAACGAGGAGGGGACACCTGTTTTGGACAACCTTGGCATTAGGGGGGAGGAACTGTAGAGGCTAGCAGTTGGAGTCGTCACACAGCTGTGCCTCACAGAAGAACCGTGAGCCTCGTTTAGCAGTACGGGCTGTGAAGGGGGCGCTCTTCAACACTGAGGGGGGAGGAGGATGAGGGGAGAAAACATCACACCTGAGACAGAGGAACCTGTACTTGTGCTGTACTGTGGTCCACCCCCTAATCTGCCATCAGGTTGGTCCACTTCTCAGTGTTGTCATTGTAATATCTGTATAGCCAGTATCCCAGCTCTCTCTGTGCCACACCTCCCTGTTTTGGTGTATGGACCACAAGGTCTTTGGCTGTGTCTGAAATTGCACCATATTCCCTATTTAGTGCACTACGTTTTGACCAGTGGTACACTACAGGGAGTAAGGTGCTATTTCAGACGCACGCTATGTCCAGGAGGACAGGGATATACTGCATGTTGAATAACGTAGATGACGTACGTTTCGTAAAGGCCCTAGTAGTGGGGAGGAAAAGCATTATTAACACATTATTAACATATTATTACAATGATTAACATTGTTAGCACCTCCCATGGAGCAGGGCATTGGGAGCGCAATGGCTCGACTACATGCCTACTTTTACTTTGAGACTCAATTGCCGCTTAGCTGCACAGATACCATATGGTGATGAGACACTACTAATCTAGATAACTAGCAGGCCACAAAAAGGAACATGATTCAGAACTGGAATCTGCTGTTGTCTAGATGCTCTAGAGCCTCTGGTAGTGGTGTCTGAACCACGTAACACAGTCCTCCTCTAGCCGAGCAGTTGAGGACCACAGTGATCTTAGCCTAGCCCCAGCCCCTGGGGCTGCTTGGGATGGGGCTTTGACCTACTGGGGCCTGGCTGGGGGCTGCGTGGCTGCATATCGAGCCCACCTGTGATGATATCCTCGATGGTGCCGTCCTTCCCCTCGTAGACGGGTCGGTGGTCCTTGGCCTGGCGTTTACGCAGCTCTGAGATCAGCTCCTGTTGCTGCTGCCTCTTCTTCACTACCTGGACCTGGGAGGGAGAGGAGGAAGAATATCAAATTCTGCCTAAATGGCTTGAGCTGCCCATGGATCGTTTCAATCATACAAATGCATTAACTCCTTATTGTACGTGTGAGAGTCTTATATTGAGAATTATACAACGGGTGGGTCTAATCCTGGATGCTGATTGGTTAATACAGCATTTTACATTTACATTTTAGTCATTTAGCAGACGCTCTTATCCAGAGCAACTTACAGTTAGTGAGTGCATGCATTTTTTCATACTGGCCCCCCGTGGGAATCGAACCCACAACCCTGGCGTTGCAAGCGCCATGCTCTACCAACTGAGCTACACGGGGGGCATTCCAGCTGGTGTCTATTCCACAAGTTACCACCGGCTAAAGTTATGACGTTGAAATGCCTATTTACTCTGTTCCATCTCACTGCGCATTCAACTGTCTCATCAGCCCAGCCAGGCAATCTCCGCTATAAAAATAATCTAGACATTATCTCCCATTTCTTTTAGACTAGCATTTCGTTTTCAACAGCGAAGATTTGTATAAACCTTGCTGTCTGTCTCTCCCACATTTGGTCTGGTGGTCAGTCAGGTGGTCAGCCTGGTGGTCAGCCTGGTGGTCAGTCAGGTGGTCAGCCTGGTGGTCAGTCTGGTGGTCTGGTGGTCAGTCTGGTGGTCTGGTGGTCAGTCTGGTGGTCAGCCTGGTGGTCAGTCTGGTGGTTTGGTGGTCAGTCTGGTGGCCTGGTGGTCAGTCTGGTGGTCTGGTGGTCAGTCAGGTGGTCAGTCTGGTGGTCTGGTGGTCAGTCTGGTGGTCTGGTGGTCAGTCTGGTGGTCAGTCAGGTGGTCAGTCTGGTGGTCTGGTGGTCAGTCTGGTGGTCTGGTGGTCAGTCAGGTGGTCATATCCACCATTTAGTCTAAATTCTATAGTACTCTAAGCTCAACGTTACTAATGTTAGTTGAGTCCAGTTTGAGTATTTGTATTTGTTATGTGTCTGTGCCTGTGTTTGTGTCTCTTCACAGTCCCCACTATTCCATAAGGTGTATTTGTATCTGTTTTTTAAATCTAATTTTACTGCTTGCATGAGTTACAGTGGCTTGCGAAATTATTCACCCCCCTTGGCATTTTTCCTATTTTGTTGCCTTACAACCTGGAATTAAAATTGATTTTTGGGGGGGTTTGTATCATTTGATTTACACAACATGCCTACCACTTTGAAGATGCAAAATATATTTTTATGTGAAACAAACAAGAAATAAGACAAAAAAAGTCAATACTTTATAGAGCCACCTTTTGCAGCAATTACAGCTGCAAGTCTCTTGGGGTATGTCTCTATAAGCTTGGTACATCTAGCCACTGGGATTTTTGCCAATTCCTCAAGGCAATACTGCTCCAGCTCCTTCAAGTTGGATGGGTTCCGCTGGTGTACACCAATCTTTAAGTCATACCACAGATTCTCAATTGGATTGAGGTCTGGGCTTTGACTAGGCCATTCCAAGACATTTCAATGTTTCCCCTTAAACCATTCGAGTGTTGCTTTAGCAGTATGCTTAGGGTCATTGTCCTGCTGGAAGGTGAACCTCCGTCCCAGTCTCAAATCTATGGAAGACTGAAAGAATTTCCCTGTATTTAGCGCCATCCATCATTCCTTCAATTCTGACTAGTTTCCCAGTCCCTGCTGATGAAAAACATCCCCACAGCATGATGCTGCCACCACCATGCTTCACTGTGGGGATAGTGTTCTCGGGGTGATGAGAGGTGTTGGGTTTGCGCCACACATAGCGTTTTCCTTGATGGCCAAAAAGCTCAATTTTAGTCTCATCTGACCAGAGTACCTTCTTCCATATGTTTGGGGAGTCTCCCACATGCCTTTTGGCGAACACCAAACGTGTTTGCTTATTTTTTTCTTTAAGCAATTGCTTTTTTCTGGCCACTCTTCCATAAAGCCCAGCTCTGTGGAGTGTACATCTTAAAGTGGTCCTATGGACAGATACTCCAATCTCCGCTGTGGAGCTTTGCAGCTCCTTCAGGGTTATCTTTGGCCTCTCTAATTAATACCCTCCTTGCCTGGTCCGTGAGTTTTGGTGGGTGGCCCTCTTTTGGCAGGTTTATTGTGGTGCCATATTCTTTCCATTTTTTAAATAATGGATTTAATGGTGCTCCGTGGGATGTTCAAAGTTTCTGATATTTTTTATAACCCAACCCTGATCTGTACTTCTCCACAACTTTGTCCCTGACCTGTTTGGAGAGCTCCTTGGTCTTCATGGTGCCGCTTGCTTGGTGGTGCCCCTTGCTTAGTGGTGTTGTAGACTCTGGGGCCTTTCAGAACAGGTGTATATATACTGAGATCATGTGACACTTAGATTGCAAACAGGTGGACATTATTTAACTAATTATGTGACTTCTGAAGGTAATTGGTTGCACCAGATCTTATTTAGGGTCTTCATAGCAAAGGGGTGAATACATACAGTGGGGAAAAAAAGTATTTAGTCAGCCACCAATTGTGCAAGTTCTCCCACTTAAAAAGATGTGAGAGGCCTGTAATTTTCATCATAGGTACACGTCAACTATGACAGACAAATTGAGAAAAGAAATTCCAGAAAATCACATTGTAGGATTTTTAATGAATTTATTTGCAAATTATGGTGGAAAATAAGTATTTGGTCACCTACAAACAAGCAAGATTTCTGGCTCTCACAGACCTGTAACTTCTTCTTTAAGAGGCTCCTCTGTCCTCCACTCATTACCTGTATTAATGGCACCTGTTTGAACTTGTTACCAGTATAAAAGACACCTGTCCACAACCTCAAACAGTCACACTCCAAACTCCACTATGGCCAAGACCAAAGAGCTGTCAAAGGACACCAGAAACAAAATTGTAGACCTGCACCAGGCTGGGAAGACTGAATCTGCAATAGGTAAGCAGCTTGGTTTGAAGAAATCAACTGTGGGAGCAATTATTAGGAAATGGAAGACATACAAGACCACTGATAATCTCCCTCGATCTGGGGCTCCACGCAAGATCTCACCCCGTGGGGTCAAATTGATCACAAGAACGGTGAGCAAAAATCCCAGAACCACACGGGGGGACCTAGTGAATGACCTGCAGAGAGCTGGGACCAAAGTAATAAAGCCTACCATCAGTAACACACTACGCCGCCAGGGACTCAAATCCTGCAGTGCCAGACGTGTCCCCCTGCTTAAGCCAGTACATATCCAGGCCCGTCTGAAGTTTGCTAGAGTGCATTTGGATGATCCAGAAGAGGATTGGGAGAATGTCATATGGTCAGATGAAACCAAAATATAACTTTTTGGTAAAAACTCAACTCGTCGTGTTTGGAGGACAAAGAATGCTGAGTTGCATCCAAAGAACACCATACCTACTGTGAAGCATGGGGGTGGAAACATCATGCTTCGGGGCTGTTTTTCTGCAAAGGGACCAGGACGACTGATCCGTGTAAAGGAAAGAAAGAATGGGGCCATGTATCGTGAGATTTTGAGTGAAAACCTCCTTCCATCAGCAAGGGCATTGAAGATGAAACGTGGCTGGGTCTTTCAGCATGACAATGATCCCAAACACACCGCCCGGGCAATGAAGGAGTGGCTTCGTAAGAAGCATTTCAAGGTCCTGGAGTGGCCTAGCCAGTCTCCAGATCTCAACCCCATAGAAAATCTTTGGAGGGAGTTGAAAGTCCGTGTTGCCCAGCGACAGCCCCAAAACATCACTGCTCTAGAGGAGATCTGCATGGAGGAATGGGCCAAAATACCAGCAACAGTGTGTGAAAACCTTGTGAAGACTTACAGAAAACGTTTGACCTGTGTCATTGCCAACAAAGGGTATATAACAAAGTATTGAGAAACTTTTGTTATTGACCAAATACTTATTTTCCACCATCATTTCCAAATAAATTCATAAAAAATCCTACAATGTGATTTTCTGGATTTTTTTTTCTCATTTTGTCTGTCATAGTTGACGTGTACCTATGATGCAAATTACAGGCCTCTCTCATCTTTTTAAGTGGGAGAACTTGCACAATTGGTATGCACGCACCACTTTTCCGTTATTCATTTATTTGAATTTTTTTAAACAAGTTTGGTTTTTCATTTCACTTCACCAATTTGGACTATTTTGTGTATGTCCATTACATGAAATCCAAATAAAAATCCATTTAAATTACAGGTTGTAATGCAACAAAATAGGAAAAATGCCAAGGGGGATGAATACTTTTGCAAGGCACTATACTGGATGTGGAATAGAGTTCCATGTAGTCATGGCTCTATGTAGTACTGTGCGCCTCCCATAGTCTGTTCTGGACATGGGGATTGTGAAGAGACCTCTTGTGGCATGGCTTTTGGGGTATGCATGGGTGTTCGAGCTGTGTAGTTCAAACAGACAGCTCTGTGCATTCAACATGTCAATACCTCTCACAAATACAAGTAGTGATGAAGTCAATCTCTCCTCCACTTTGAGCCAGGAGAGATTGACATGCAAATTATTAATGTTAGCTCTCTGTGTACATCCAAGGGCCAGCCGTGCTGCCCTGTTCTGAGCCAATTGCAATTTTCCTAAGTCCCTCTTTATGGCACCTGACCACACGACTGAACAGAAGGCAGAGCAGTGCTTTATTATGGAAAGACTTCTCCCCATTTTAGCTACTGTTGTATCAATATGTTTTGACAATGACAGTTTACAATCCAGGGTTACTCCAAGCAGTTTAGTCACCTCAACTTGCTCAATTTCCACATTATTCATTAAAGATTTAGTTGAGGTTTAGGGTTTAGTGAATGATTTGTCCCAAATACAATGCTTTTCATTTTTTAAATATTTAGGACTAACTTATTCCTTGCCACCCATTCTGAAATTAACTGCAGCTCTTTGTTAAGTGTTGCAGTCATTTCAATCACTGTAGTAGCTGACGTGTATAGTGTTGAGTCCTCCGCATACATAGACACACTGGCTTTACTTAAAGCCAGTGGCATGTCATTAGTAAAGATTGAAAAATGTAAGGGGACTAGACAGCTGCCCTGGGGAATTCCTGATTGTACCTGGATTTTGTTGGAGAAGCTTCCATTAAAGAACACCCTCTGTGTTTTGTTAGACAGATAACTCTTTATCCACAATATAGCAGGGGGTGTAAAGCCATAACACATATGTTTCCCCAGCAGCAGACAATGATCGATAATGTCAAAAGCCGCACTGAAGTCTAACAAAACAGCCCCCACAATTTTTATCATAAATTTCTCTCAGCCAATCATCAGTCATTTTTGTAAGTGCTGTGCTTGTTGAATGTCCTTCCCTATAAGCGTACTGAAAGTCTGTTGTCAATTTGTTTACTGTAAAATATCATTGTATCTGGTCAAACACAATTTTTTCCAAAAGTTTCCTAAGGGTTGGTAACAGGCTGATTGGTCGGCTATTTGTGCCAGTAAAGTTTTTTTTACTATTCTTAGCGGAATTACTTTTGCTTTCCTCCATGCCTGAGGGCACACACTTTCTAGTAGGCTTAAATTGAAGATATGGCAAATAGGAGTGGCAATATCGTCCGCTATTATCCTCAGTAATTCTCCATCCAAGTTGTCAGACCCTGGTGGCTTGTCATTGTTGATAGACAACAATCATTGTTTCACCTCTTCCACACTCACTTCACAGAATTCAAAATGCTTGTCTTTCATAATTTGGTCAGATATACATGGATGTGTCAGCATTTGTCAGCATTTGTTGCTGGCATGTCATGCCTAAATTTGCTAATCTTGCCAATGAAAAAAATAATTGCGCATCTTCTTGGCTTTTTGGGCCTTGTCTGTCAGAGTCAGGGCTAGGGAGACTTCTAGTATTGTACCTTGGGCTCATGTTGCTTGGCCTCCTGAGCCAGTAACTTCTCTCTCATGGCTTTCTCCTGCTTTTTCCTCTGCTCATTGTCATCCACCGCATCCTGTAGGGAGGACAACACAAAATGGACGCCATTCAGAGAAAACTCAGAAAAGAGACTACAACTCAATAGTCCAAATCAAGAAACTGGCTAAGCCAAGCTATGGAAATATTATATTTTATAATAGATTAACTGGATCTGGGTGTTAAATAAACATAGAGAGAACATACTTTCATGTAGCTAAACAGTCAGCACCATTCATTTTCTCTGTGCGTGTGTGTGTCTTTCGCTCTTCACCCTCCCTGTTTCTCTCTAACACACACACACACACACACAAACACACACACACACAAACACACACAACACACACACACACAAATGCATTCAAACGCACAGATCCTTTTGCTGCACTGCACGTTTCTTCAACAGATCCATAAATCCGTGTAGAGAACAATCTCAGGAAGGTGTCTGTGTGGCAGGACAGAGCTGTCCATCCGGGGGAGGCAGAGTGCAGGGCGGGGTCATTGGTCCAGGGGTCAGAAGGGGGAGGCAGGGGTAGGAGGGAAAGGCAGGTGGGAAGGGGGGAGACGGGCCCAGTTTAAACACCACAGCTACTGCTCTGACCCAGCTGGCCCTTCCTGTTATTAGATCTGTGACTCCAGTCTACACCCTGTCCTGTGGCACACAGACAGTTCTGCTCTTCTCTGGGAGGCAGCAAGGCTAACCAAGGATAGGCTAACTCCCATAGGACAGAGAGAGTAACCTAAACATGGCCCTGTGTGGCTCAGTTGGTAAAAGTGTGGAGCTAGTGACACACGTCACTACAAGGTCGTGGGTTCATTTCCTACAGGGATCACATACACATCCTACATGTATGAACTCACTTTACAATAAGTCACTTTGGATAACAGTGTTAGCTAAGTGGCCTGTTACATACGTGACCCCTGTAGAAGACGTGTGTTGTTTGGTCCTTCCTTACCTTGTAAGCTCTGATGAATCGCACAAACACAGGGAAGAACACGGAGGGAGGAGTAGTCTTGGAACTCTCCCCAAAGTAGTTCACCACATTGTTGAAGGCTTCCTAGAAATGACCCGGGAGAGAGAAGTGTCAAGGGTAGGAACACAACATTTGTCAACATTGCAAACCTTAACAAAGCCTTTTCTATAGTGTTGTGCTGTATTGTTGCACAGGCGTTTTGGCCTTTGTTGTGCTGTGTCTAGGAAGTAAGAGGTGTTGTTTCGTGTTACAGTGTGTTGTGTTGTGTTTTGACCAGTTGGTAGTTTTAGAAGAGGTATTTTTCCTGAAGAAAAATTGTGTGCTTGTTTTAGTGGTAAAAAAATATTTTTGCAGTAGCGGAAGAAGTTTACAAGTTTAAAATGTTAGCGACGTTAGTGTTGAAAAATCAAGTTTGTAGTTTTGATAGGATGTTTGTAGTTTTGATAGGATGGAGGTGGGGTGAGTACCTCAGCGGTCTTGGCATCCTTCTGCAGTTTGTCCAGCTGAGTGTCGCTGGTCTGGAGGAAGCCCTTGAGAACAGAGTGGTCATGGAGACTAGACTCTCTCCTGATCAGATCCATCCCTTTACCCAGCTCCCGCACGTCCAGCAGCACATTCTCCAGAGACACTAGAGAGAGATAATAATAATAATAAATAATATAATGCCATTTAGCAGACGCTTTTATCCAAAGCGACTTACAGTCATGTGTGCATACAGTTTTACGTATGGGTGGTCCCGGGGATCGAACCCACTACCCTGGCGTTACAAGCGCCATGCTCTACCAATTGAGCTACAGAGGACCCCACACGCACGCACGCACGCATGCACGCACGCACACACACACACACACAAAAATATCAAGCCTCCTCATTTCAACTGTGCTGTAGTCTTCTTCATACAGTGAGAAGAGAATAATCCCATTCCAGTTGCATGGTGTCTGTGTGTGTAACTGTGTATTCACCTGCAGCAGCTTTGTCCACAAAGTGCAGTTCGTTGAAGAAGTTAGCCAGCTCAGGATACTTCTCCTTGACAACCACAGCTATGTAGTGGAGCAGAGTCATCTTCCTGTCTGTAGACTTAGTGTCCAGTAGCTAGGGGAGGAGAAGATTACATATCAGTCAAGGCTCTTTCCACTTACTCTGGAGGAGTACATTTCCAAACAAGTGTCCACATCACAGGAGGTTGGTGGCACCTTAATTGGGGAGGATGGGCTCGTGGTAATGTCTGGAGCGGAATAGGTGGAATGGTATCAAATATATTAAACACATGGTTTGATGCCATTCCATTGGCTCTGTTCCAACCATTTTTATGAGCCCTTCTCCCCTCAGCAGCCTCCACTGATACATATGTAGGCTTTTATAACTAGATTCCAGCAGCTGAATGAGAAAAAGATATACACAACCAGAATACATATCAGCCTCTTTTATCACTCTTGAAACAAGTGTACAAGTGTAGCCTTGTATAACTAACGTGGAGATAAACGGAACACCTGGAACTGAATACATGACCAGAATACATATCAAATCAAATCAAATTATTGGCCACATGCGCCGAATACAACAGGTGCAGACATTACAGTGAAATGCTTACTTACAGCCCTTAACCAACAGTGCATTTATTTTTAATAAAAAATTAAAATAAAACAACAACGAAAAAGTGTTGAGAAAAAAAGAGCAGAAGTAAAATAAAATAACAGTAGGGAGGCTATATATACAGGGGGGTACCGGTGCAGAGTCAATGTGCGGGGGCACCGGCTAGTTGAGGTAGTTGAAGTAATATGTACATTTGGGTAGAGTTAAAGTGACTATGCATAAATAATTAACAGAGTAGCAGCAGCGTAAAAATATGGGGTGGGGGGGCAGTGCAAAGGGTCCGGGTAGCCATGATTAGCTGTTCAGGAGTCTTATGGCTTGGGGGTAGAAGCTGTTGAGAAGTATTTTGGACCTAGACTTGGCACTCCGGTACCGCTTGCCGTGCGGTAGCAGAGAGAACAGTCTATGACTAGGGTGGCTGGAGTCTTTGACAATTTTGAGGGCCTTCCTCTGACACCGCCTGGTATAGAGGTCCTGGATGGCAGGAAGCTTGGCCCCAGTGATGTACTGGGCCGTACGCACTACCCTCTGTAGTGCCTTGCGGTTGGAGGCCGAACAGTTGCCATACCAGGCGATGATGCAACCAGTCAGGATGCTCTCTATGGTGCAGCTGTATAATTTTTTGAGGATCTGAGGACCCATGCCAAATCTTTTCAGTCTCCTGAGGGGGAATAGGCTTTGTCGTGCCCTCTTCACGACTGTCTTGGTGTGTTTGGACCATGATAGTTCGTTGGTGATGTGGACACCAAGGAACTTGAAGCTCTCAACCTGTTCCACTACAGCCCCGTCGATGAGAATGGGGGCGTGCTCAGTCCTCTTATTTTTCCTGTAGTCCACAATCATCTCCTTTGTCTTGGTCACGTTGAGGGAGAGGTTGTTATCCTGGCACCACACGGCCAGGTCTCTGACCTCCTCCCTATAGGCTGTCTCATTGTTGTCGGTGATCAGGCCTACCACTGTTGTGTCGTCTGCAAACTTAATGATGGTGTTGGAGTCGTGCCTGGCCATGCAGTCATGGGTGAACAGGGAGTACAGGAGGGGACTGAGAACGCACCCCTGAGGGGCCCCCGTGTTGAGGATCAGTGTGGTAGATGTGTTGTTACCTACCCTTACCACCTGGGGGTGGCCCGTCAGGAAGTCCAGGATCCAGTTGAAGAGGGAGGTGTTTAGTCCCAGGATCCTTAGCTTAGCGATGAGCTTTGAGGGCACTATGGTGTTGAATGCTGAGCTGTAGTCAATGAATAGCATTCTCACGTAGGTGTTCCTCTTGTCCAGGTGGAAAAGGGCAGTGTGGAGTGCAATAGAGATTGCATAATCTGTGGATCTGTTGGGGCGGTATGCAAATTGGAGTGGGTCTAGGGTTTCTGGGATAATGGTGTTGATGTGAGCCATGACCAGCCTTTCAAAGCACTTCATGGCTACAGACGTCAGTGCTACGGGTCGGTAGTCATTTAGGCAGGTTATCTTAGTGTCCTTGGGCACGGGGACTATGGTGGTCTGCTTGAAACATGTTGGTATTACAGACTCAGTCAGGGACATGTTGAAAATGTCAGTGAAGACACTTGCCAGTTGGTCAGCACATGCTCGGAGTACACGTCCTGGTAATCCGTCTGGCCCTGCGGCCTTGTGAATGTTGACCTGCTTAAAAGTCTTACTCACATCGGCTACGGAGAGCGTGATCACATAGTCATCCGGAACAGCTGGTGCTCTCATGCATGCTTCAGTGTTGCTTGCCTCGAAGCGAGCATAGAAGTGGTTTAGCTCGTCTGGAAGTCTTGTGTCACTGGGCAGCTCGCGGCTGTGCTTCCCTTTGTAGTCTGTAATAGTTTTCGAGCCCTGCCACATCCGACGAGCGTCAGAGCCGGTGTAGTACGATTCAATCTTAGTCCTGTATTGACTCTTTGCCTGTTTGATGGTTCGTCGGAGGGCATAGCGGGATTTCTTATAAGCGTCCGGGTTAGAGTCCCGCTACTTGAAAGCGGAAGCTCTACCCTTTAGCTCAGTGTGGATGTTTCCTGTAATCCATGGCTTCTGGTTGGGGTATGTACGTACGGTCACTGTGGGGACGACATCATCGATGCACTTATTGATGAAGCCAGTGACTGATGTGGTGTACTCCTCAATGCTATCTGAAGAATCCCGGAACATGTTCCAGTCTGTGCTAGCAAAACAGTCCTGTAGCTTAGCATCTGCGTCATCTGACCACTTTTTTATTAACCGAGTCACTGGTGCTTCCTGCTTTAGTCTTTGCTTATAAGCAGGAATCAGGAGGATATAGTTATGGTCAGATTTGCCAAATGGAGGGCGAGGGAGAGCTTTGTATGCGTCTCTGTGTGTGGAGTAAAGGTGGTCTAGAGTTTTTTTTCCTCTGGTTGCACATTTAACATGCTGGTAGAAATGAGGTAGAATGGATTTAAGTTTCCCTGCATTAAAGTCCCCGGCCACTAGGAGCGCTGCCTCTGGATGAGCGTTTTCCTGTTCACTTATGGCCTTATACAGCTAATTTAGTGCAATCTTAATGCCAGCATTGGTTTGTGGTGGTAAATAGACAGCTACAGTGAGGCAAAAAAGTATTTCATCCCATGCTGATTTTGTATGTTTGCCCACTGACAAAGAAATTATCAGTCTATCATTTTAATGGTAGGTTTATTTGAACAGTTAGAGACAGAATTTTTTTAGAAATTGATTTGCATTTTAATGAGGGAAATAAGTATTTGACCCCCTCTCAATCAGAAAGGTTTCTGGCTCCCAGGTGTATTTTATACAGGTAACGAGCTGAGATTAGGAGCACACTCTTAAAGGGAGTGCTCCTAATCTCAGCTTGTTACCTGTATAAAAGACACCTGTCCACAGAAGCAATCAATCAATCAGATTCCACTCTCCACCATGGCCAAGACCAAAGAGCTCTCCAAGGATGACAGGGACAAGATTGTATACCTACACAAGGCTGGAATGGGCTACAAGACCATCGCCAAGCAGCTTGGTGAGAAGGTGACAACAGTTGGTGCAATTATTCGCAAATGAAAGAAACACAAAATAACTGTTCATCTCCCTCGGCCTGGGGCTCCATGCAAGATCTCACCTCGTGGTGTTGCAATGATCATGAGAACGGTGAAGAATCAGTCCAGAACTACACGGGAGGATCTTGTCAATGATCTCAAGGCAGCTGGGACCATAGTCACCAAGAAAACAATTGGTAACACACTACGCTGTGAAGGACTGAAATCCTGCAGCGCCCGCAAGGTCCCCCTGCTCAAGAAAGCAGAGGGCCGTCTGAAGTTTGCCAATGAACATCTGAATGATTCAGAGGAGAACTGGGTGAAAGTGTTGTGGTCAGATGAGACCAAAATCGAGCTCTTTGGCATCAACTCAACTCGCTGTGTTTGGAGGAGGAGGAATGCTGCCTATGACCCCAAGAACACCATCCCCACCGTCAAACATGGAGGTGGAAACATTATGCTTTGGGGGTGTTTTTCTGCTAAGGGGACAGGACAACTTCACCGCATCAAAGGGACGATGGACGGGGCCATGTATTGTCAAATCTTGGATGAGAACCTCCTTCCCTCAGCCAGGGCATTGAAAATGTGTTGTGGATGGGTACTCCAGCATGACAATGACCCAAAACACATGGCCAAGGCAACAAAGGAGTGGCTCAAGAAGAAGCACATTAAGGTCCTGGAGTGGCCTATCCAGTCTCCAGACCTTAATCCCATAGAAAATCTGTGGAGGGAGCTGAAGGTTCGAGTTGCCAAACGTCAGGCTCGAAACCTTAATGACTTGGAGAAGATCTGCAAAGAGGAGTGGGACAAAATCCCTCCTGAGATGTGTGCAAACCTGGTGGCCAACTACAAGAAACGTCTGACCTCTGTGATTGCCAACAAGATTTTGCCACCAAGTACTAAGTCATGTTTTGCAGAGGGGTCAAATACTTATTTCCCTCATTAAAATGCAAATCAATTTATAACATTTTTTACATGCGTTTTTCTGGATTTTTTTGTTGTTATTCTGTCTCTCACTGTTCAAATAAACCTACCATTAAAATTATAGACTGATCATGTCTTTGTCAGTGGGCAAACGTACAAAATCAGCAGGGGATCAAATACTCTTTTCCCTCACTGTATGAAAAATATAGATGAAAACTCTCTTGGTAAATAGTGTGGTCTACAACTTATCATAAGATACTCTACCTCAGGCGAGCAAAACCTCGGGACTTCCTTAGTATTTGATTTTGTGCACCAGCTGTTGTTTACAAATATACACAGACCGCCACCCCTTGTCTTACCGGAGTCAGCCGTTCTATCCTGCCGATGTAGCGTATAGCCCGCTAGCTGTATGTTGTCCATTTCGTCGTTAAGCCACGACTCGGTGAAACATAAGATATTACAGTTTTTAATGTCCCGTTGGTAGGATAACCGTAATCTTAGGTCATCCAATTTATTCTCAAATGATTGAAGATTGGCTAATAGGATTGATGGAAGAGGCAGTTTACTCGCTCTCTGTCGGATCCTTACAAGGTACCCCGACCTACGTCCACGATATCTCTGTCTCTTTCTCATGCGAATGACAGGGATTTGGGCCTTGTCTGGTGTCTGTAGGATATCCTTCGCGGCCACCTCGTTGAAGAAAAAATCTTCGTCCAATACGAGGTGAGTAATCGCTGTCCTGATATCCAGAAGCTCTTTTTGGTTATAAGAGACGATGGCAGAAACATTATGTACAAAATAAATTACAAATTACGCGGAAAAACACACATAATAGTACAATTGGTTAGAGGGCTGTAAAACGGCAGCCATCTTCTCCGGCGCCATTCATTACAGCCAAGGATCTTTTCATTCTGGAGGAGTACATCTTGAAAAGTGTAGCCCTTGAGCAGTCTCTTGAGGACTTGCAGAGAGCAGCTCTCTAGAATGTGCTACTTTGTATCATACAGTACTCACCAGATCAAGACTTTGTAGTTTGAAGCCATACACAGATCCTCTCTTGCTGCTGTTCATGTAGTTTCCCAGGGCTAAGATGATCTATGAGAGTACAGAAAGTAAAGAATAAACATCTTAGCACCATACTAATGTGGCCATGGTCAAGCAAAAGCTACTGAGTTTCCCTACAGCTTTGTTGCACTAAGAGCATCTTTCGTCCATTGCCTACAATTGACCTGGATGATCTTAGTGCTATGAATCTTTTGGGAAACTCACCACTGACAGATAATGTGAAAGGATGCTTCTCTTCCAATTCAAACCAGTTTAATCGCTGATGATGGACGATCACGATGAGAGAACCCTTACCTCTAGCATTCGTTTTAACTTGGGTGAAGACTTGACGGATGCGGACGCTGCGATAATGGCATTGAGCTGCGGGGTTAGCATGTTGACGTTGTCTGAGAAGTTCCCTACGAACGTAATAATATTAATCCTCTGGGTGAGCCTTTCGATCTTGGAGAAGAAGAGCATGAATCGGTCCTCGTCCGTCAGCGCGTCCAGCGGTCGCCGCTCCCGCTCGTACTGACGCATCATCTTCCCCTCCGCCTCCGTTGGAAGGAAACGCATCAGACACTCCACGAAGTCCACCGGCAGGGCCTTCAGGTCAAAGCTATAGGGAGAAAATATAGTACAGGTTACAATACTGAAAGGTTAGAAACATCAGACGGGACATGTTAGAAACATCAAATGGGGAGACAGGTTAGAAACATCAGACAGGACAGGTTAGAAACATCAAACAGGACAGGTTAGAAACATCAGACGGGGAGACAGGTTAGAAACATCAGACAAGACAGGTTAGAAACATCAGACAGGACAGGTTAGAAACATTAGACAGGAGGGAGACAGGTTAGAAACATCAGACAGGTGGGAGACAGGTTAGAAACATCAGACAGGACAGGTTCGAAACATCAGACAGGAGGGAGACAGGTTAGAAACATCAGACAAGTGGGAGACAGGTTAGAAACATCAGACGGGGAGACAGGTTAGAAACATCAGACGGGACAGGTTAGAAACATCAGACGGGGGAGACGGGTTAGAAACATCAGACGGGGGAGACAGGTTATAAACATCAGACAGGGGGAGACAGGTTATAAACATCAGACAGGGGAGACGGGTTATAAACATCAGACAGGGGAGACGGGTTATAAACTTCAGACAGGGGAGACAGGTTATAAACATCAGACAGGGGGAGACGGGTTATAAACATCAGACAGGGGGAGACGGGTTATAAACATCAGACAGGGGGAGACAGGTTATAAACATCAGACAGGGGGAGACGGGTTATAAACATCAGACAGGGGGAGACAGGTTATAAACATCAGACAGGGGGAGACGGGTTATAAACATCAGACAGGGGGAGACAGGTTATAAACATCAGACAGGGGGAGACGGGTTATAAACATCAGACAGGGGGAGACAGGTTAGAAACATCAGACAGGACAGGTTATAAACATCAGACAGGACGGGAGACAGGTTGGAAACATAACATTCTGAGTCTGCCTCCTCTCTAGGTTTCTTCCTTCTAGGGAGTGTTTCCTTGCCACTGTGCTTCTGCTTGGCTGGTCACTGTAAAGCACTTTGTGACAACTGAATTGTTGATGTGATTGATTGATGTCGAGAGCAAGCTATAGGCTACAGTACGTACGTCTGTATGGCTTTGCAGATCTCTTCAGTGCTCTTGTTGGCCTTCCTCAGGGTGATAGCCAGGTTCTTGGAGCGGTTTGCGTCCAGCAGGGAGACCTTATTGACAGCCTTTTGAGACACCTTGGTCTTGGGGCCACTCAGGTCCACCACTGGACCCTGGGCCTTGGTCTTAAACAGTTCCTCAAACTTCTCCACATCCAGGTCCTATAGACAGACAACACACACGATACACTCAGTCAAACGTGATACCTCAAAGCATGTCCATTTTCTATGACAAGGAAAATGTTTCAGTTAGGAGGGTTTTTTTGTGCAAAAAATTAATAATCATACGGAACAAAGCAGGGATGGTTTGACAATCAGCATTTAATTAGTTAGAAGAAGGGCTTTGAATGAGTTAAGAGTAGGGTCTTGATCAAGTTAGGAGTAAGACCTTGAATGAGTTAGGAGTAGGGCCTTGAATGAATTAGGAGTAGGGCCTTGAATGAATTAGGAGTGGGGCCTTGAATGAGTTAGGAGTAGGGCCTTGAATGAGTTAGGAGTAGGTCCTTGAATGAGTTAGGAGTAGGGCCTTGAATGAGTTAGGAGTAGGGCCTTGAATGAGTTAGGAGTAGGGCCTTGAATGAGTTAGGAGTAGGGCCTTGAATGAGTTAAGACTGGGGCCTTGAATGAGTTAGGAGTAGGGCCTTGAATGAGTTAAGACTGGGGCCTTGAATGAGTTAGGAGTAGGGCCTTGAATGAGTTAGAGAGGGGCCTTGAATGAGTTAGGAGTAGGGCCTTGAATGAGTTAAGACTGGGGCCTTGAATGAGTTAAGACTGGGGCCTTGAATGAGTTAGGAGTAGGGCCTTGAATGAATTAGGAGTAGGGCCTTGAATGCGTTAGGAGTAGGTCCTTGAATGAGTTAGGAGTAGGGCCTTGAATGAGTTAGGAGTAGGGCTTTGAATGAGTTAGGAGTAGGGCCTTGAATGAATTAGGAGTAGGTCCTTGAATGAGTTAGGAGTAGGGCCTTGAATTAGTTAGGAGTAGGGCCTTGAATGAGTTAAGACTGGGGCCTTGAATGAGTTAGGAGTAGGGCCTTAAATGAATTAGGAGTAGGGCCTTGAATGAATTAGGAGTAGGGCCTTGAATGAATTAGGAGTGGGGCCTTGAATGAGTTAGGAGTAGGGCCTTGAGGGCCTATTTTCCTGACCATGCGACATGACAAAGAACAACTCAGGCCCCTAATTAAGAGGTAAACTGTCAGATGAAGGCCCCTAATTAAGGTGGTAAACGGTCAGATGAAGGCCCGTAAAGGGAAGTTTGTCCTGAACTGGTAGACTCACCTCTAGTACTCTTTCATCATCTATCTCACTGAAGACCGTACCATTGATCTGGTTGGGTTTCAGAGCGGTCCAGTTGAATATAGGCAGACGGAACTTGGTCTTGATGGGCTTCTTGATCCTGATAGCTGCAGACCGACATTATTAGAGTCCTTATTATTATTATAAAGAAAATCAGGAAAGCCATTACATAGAAAATCAGGACATCCATTTAATCGAAAATCAGGACAGCCATTACATATAAAATCAGGACAGCCATTACATAGAAAATTAGGACAGCCATTACATAGAAAATTAGGACAGCCATTACATAGAAAATCAGGCATATTACCATCACACAATCCGACTTGTATATTGTACTGTATTCTTTTGAACACATTCTATACTCCACCCTAAGTTCCTTTTTAGTTTAGATTAACCATAATGGCCCCGTAGCAGATGTGCAATACAGTATATTTAGATGCTCTTACCTGATAGGCCCATATTGAGGATGAAATTGGGTGCAGTTCCTGGTAGAGGCGGGGCCATAGGAGGGGGTGGGGGTGGAGGTGGGCATGGAGCATTCTCTCCTGTGGAACAGAAGACAAACACTCAGCATAAAACAACGGCAGTCTCTGTAGCTCTATTCTCCTGAGCCATAATCAAATCTCAAGCTTATGAATGTCTGTGAGAGAGACTAGTGGAGCTCTAACATGCTGTACCAAATCAGTACGATGAATAGAAGATCATTCATATTGGTTTATGGTGGCATATACTAATGTTGTGCGTCCATCCAGCTGTGTGTGTGTGTGTGTGTGTGTTTCACCATAGTTCCTGGAACCGTGCTGTAAAGTAGTGATTCTCAACCTTTCAGTGGGCCTCGGAATGGAAAAGGTTGAGAACCCCTGCTGTGAAGGACAATGTGAAAAGAAAGCCAACACAGTACAGTTGGAGTCGGCACAATGATGTGAAAGAGTATAACTGCTCATGGTACTGTACCTAAAGCAGAGGGAAGTGGAGGGGGAGGAGGGGGAGGGGGAGGTGGTGCTTCACTGGCCCTTGATAGACTAGTCCCTGGTCCTCCTGGTCCTCCTGGCCCTGTTACTCCTCCAGGCCCCACTGAGAACCCTCCGTTCTGCCCAAAGTCACCCAGAAGCGCCCCCGGACCTCCACCCCCTCCTCCTCCTCCACCACCACCACCACCACCACTGCCCCCTCCCAGGGGCTCGATGGCGATGTCCCCGTCCGGCTGTTTGCGGAGGCGGATGGTCCCCTGCTGTTCCATCTCCAGCAGGCGCTTCTCTATGTTGAAGCTCCTCTGGAAGGCAGCGTCCTTCTCCTTGATCATCCTCCTCAGGGTGTGGACCTGGGTGTTGGTCGACTCGTACGTCTCCTGTTGGGTCAGAACACCATTGGGAGACAGAGAGAGAAATCACACTATGATGACTCCACCAACTATACAGGATCATAATCACTCCATTTCCTGCCAATCAATTTGCTATCATAGCATTCTTCCTAGAGCATAGTTGATCAAACGTTAATGTTATTCTGCCATTGCCGTACATATAGTTCTCCAGGAGTTGTAAAACACTGTTGCAAAACAACATATTAATACAACATTGAGACATGCGAATGCACGCTATTGCTGTACTGAATCATCAAGAGTACATTTGATACTGTATATGAGAAATATAATGATAATTTAATTCCGTATCATAATAGTGATCACTAGCTTATCTTACCCGTATGACATGGAGATCCTTGTCCTTCTGTAGGAGCTGCTTCTCCAGGTCAGCCACTTTCATGATGGTCTCATTCTCCACGTCCAGAAGCTTCTCCGTCACCTAGTACAGGGTGGAGAGGATAGAGGGTGAGCAAAGTAAGAGAAGGTAGGAGGCATGGAGAGAAAAGGAGTGAGTGTAGAGACAGGACAAGAGGTATGGAGAAAGAGATGGAGAAAGGGGAGGAGGTGAATTAAAGCATTGATCCAGTAAAATCCAACTCGGGCATCTCACCCTGTCTCTCTCTGTCTCTCTCTGTCTCTCTCTCTGTCTCTCTCTCTGTCTCTCTCTCTCTCTCTCTCTCTCTCTCCTCTCTCTCTCTCTCTCTCTCTCTCTCTCTCTCTCTCTCTCTCTCTCTCTCTCTCTCTCTCTCTCTCTCTCTCTCTCTCTCTCTCTCTCTTCTCTCTCTCTCTCTCTCTCTCTCTCTCTCTCTCTCAATTTCAATTTAAGGGCTTTATTGGCATGGGAAACGTATGTTAACATTGCCAAAGCAAGTGAAGTAGATAGTAAACAAAAGTGAAATAAACTATAAATATTAACAGTAAACATTACACTCAGAAGTTCCAAATGTCATATTATGTATATATACAGTGTTGTAATAATGTGCAAATAGTTAAAGTACAAATGGGAAAATAAATAAACATAAATATGGGTTGTTGTTTACAATGGTGTTTGTTCTTCACTGGTTGCCCTTTTCTTGTGGCAACAGGTCACAAATCTTGCTGCTGTGATGGCTCACTGTGGGTTTTCACCCAGTAGATAAGGGAGTTTATCAAAATTGGGTTTGTTTTCGAATTCTTTGTGGATCTCTGTAATCTGAGGGAAATATGTGTCTCTAATATGGTCATACATTTGGCAGGAGGTTAGGAAGTGCAGCTCAGTTTCCACCTCATTTTGTGGGCAGTGTGCACATAGCCTATCTTCTTGTCTTGAGAGCCAGGTCTGCCTACGGCGGCCTTTCTCAATAGCAAGGCTATGCTCACTGAGTCTGTACATAGTCAAAGCTTTCCTTAAGTTTGGGTCAGTCACAGTGGTCAGGTATTCTGCCGCTGTGTACTCTCTGTTTAGAGCCAAATAGCATTCTAGTTTGCTCTGTTTTTTTGTTAATTCTTTCCAATGTCTCAAGTAATTCTCTTTTTGTTTTCTCATGATTTGGTTGGGTCTAATTGTGTTGTTGTTGTTGTCCTGGGGCTCTGTGGGGTCTGTTTGTCTTTCTTTCTCTCTCTCTCTCCTGTACTGTATTCTCTGCAGAATTAATAAGAAATGTGATATGCCTAGCAACATGACACAGCTAGTGTAAGTGAGGCTGAGCTGACACAGTTTTCACTTTTGAATTTGGACAGATAACACGTGTTGTAAACTAAAGGAATTCTTAGGGTGGAATGTTTCACTCTCTTCCTCCCCCATAATTCCTGGTCCCTGAAAGCAGGGTTTGTTTTGAAATTCTTAGGATGACGGCATGTCTGACTCTGACCTTTCTGTCATTGTAACAGTTTGGTGGATTGTTTACTTGTGTTACTGACTGACTGACACACCAGAGAAGACCTAATCAGACAATAATGATGTACCTGATTACTTTGTTCATGGAACCGTTTCATGTAAAATGTTCAGAATGGAAAAGGACACATATAGAATCTATAGAATGCATGTATTTCCAAGACATCCCCACATCCCCAAGACATCCCCACTCCTGTAAAGAGGCATAGTGGGCGGTCTGGTGTTCAGCCTGGTGGTCAGTCTGGTGTTCAGTCTGGTGGTCAGCCTGGTGGTCTGGTAGTCAGTCTGGTGGTCTGGTAGTCAGTCTGGTGGTCTGGTGGTCTGGTGGTCAGCCTGGTGGTCTGGTAGTCAGTCTGGTGGTCTGGTAGTCAGTCTGGTGGTCTGGTGGTCTGGTAGTCAGTCTGGTGGTCTGGTAGTCAGTCTGGTGGTCTGGTTGTCAGTCTGGTGGTCTGGTAGTCAGTCGGTGGTTTGGTGGTCTGGTAGTCAGTCTGGTGGTCTGGTGGTCAGTCTGGTGGTCTGATAGTCAGTCTGGTGGTCTGGTGGTCTGGTAGTCAGTCTGGTGGTCTGGTGGTCAGTCTGGTGGTCTGGTTGTCAGTCTGGTGGTCTGGTAGTCAGTCTGGTGGTCTGGTAGTCAGTCTGGTGGTCTGGTGGTCAGTCTGGTGGTCTGGTTGTCAGTCTGGTGGTCTGGTGGTCAGTCTGGTGGTCTGGTAGTCAGTCTGGTGGTCTGGTAGTCAGTCTGGTGGTCTGGTAGTCAGTCTGGTGGTCTGGTGGTCAGTCTGGTGGTCAGTCTGGTGGTCAGTCTGGTGGTTCTTACATGGGACAGGTGTTCCTCCAGTTCCTCCACCTTCTCCAGAGCCACGTTCTTGGTCTCTGCATCCTCCAGCAGGCCGCCCACATCAAACACATTCTCCAGGTAGGCCTGGATCTGGACTGACAGCTTGTCACTCTCTGTGTACTTGGATTTCTGGAGGGAGAGAAGGAGAGGTCCAGGTCAGTGATTCACAGTAAGACACATATGAAGGTACCTTAGAAGGTAACATTTTAAAAGGCATCTTGGAAAAGGGACAGAACTTAAAATGACAATTTTTTACTTCCTGCCTTCAAATGCTTTCTCAAAAAGGCATAAGACATTCAAGTAGATGTTGGGCCAGGAGTTTTTCCTGACCTGACCAGGTATAATTCCAGGCCCTGGTTTTAGTGACTGTTCATGAATACATGATTTAGATGATTTATTATATTGTATTTATAGCATCCTCCGTACCTCCAGGTAGTCATCTAGGCCCAGCATGGTGAACTCATACTGCAGGTGAACCCTGAAGTTCATGTCTTCTACTGAGTGGACCACGATGTTAATGAACTGCATGCAGGCCACCATGAAGTCAATGTTCCCATCCTCCACACGGAAATAGTCCATCAGCTTCTCAAAGCGATGCTTCTCCTTGCACACCTGAAAAGGAATAGAAAGATAATGTATTAGATCAATACAGACCTGAGCATATTTTGGGGAGGTTTGCCAAGCAGTGAAAAAAGTAATCTTCCAGTCCAATAGAGTAGGATATACTTCAGTTATGTTCACTTCTGAACCACCTCAGTGTCCGATATGGTCCAATATTTTTCCAATATATTTGACATAAAAATGTATGGCTGTCTCTTTGTCATATGGAGTTGCTGTGCTGTATAACAGTCTCAGGTTAGAGAGTGACCCGTTATCATTTCTTTATTTTGAATTACTGATAATCTTCCCTCCCTACAGAATGCCTAATGAAACACTAATAAAGTTGACATTAAAGGCATTACATGTATTTAAAATTGTTCCAATTTAGATCATTTAAAATATACAAAAGTATATTTATCACGGACATACTTCAATATACTTCAATTTATTAATGAAGTATGATAAAAACAAAAAACATACCGCCTGGGATGCCAAGGCTATGAGTGTAAGCAGACGTCAACACACTCCATTTGCAATGAAAAGACTGATTATAGGAATTCATGGGAAGGGAACAGAATAAAATAAGGCAAAGGGATAAAGATCTCGCCAGACACACACACAGATACACACATACACACAAACAAACAGATACACACACACACATATACACACACAAACGGATACACACACACACACATACAAACACAGAGCTTATTTCCCAACATAAAGAAACCCCTCTGATTTTAATAAAGACACAAGTCCAATCCCTTATTCCATATCAGCATTCTTTAGCCTAGAGTTGTTGTGCTGTAATTAATACTTAATTATAGAACATATATGGCTATAAAACAGGAGTGTGTCCCAAATGGCACCCTATCCCCTATATAGTGCACTACTTTTGACCAGGGCCCAAAACATTTCAGTAAAGTGTCAACTGTCATTATGATGACATTTTAAAATCCCACTAGAGAGCTGTTGGTTGGTTGGTTGGTTGGTATTGGTATTTTATTAGGATCCCCATTAGCTGTTCTGAAAGCAGCTGCTACTCTTCCTGGGGTCCACACAAAACATGAAACATGACATAATACAGAACATTAATAGACAAGAACAGCTCAAGGACAGAACTACACTACCAGTCAAAAGTTTGGACACACCTACTCATTAAGGGTTTTTCTTTAATTTTACATGAATAATAGTGAAGACATCAAAACTATGACATAACACATCATGTAGTAACCAAAATCATGTAGTAACCAAAAAAATTCTTCAACAAATCAAAATATATTGCCTTGATGACAGCTTTACACACTCTTTGCATTCTCTCAACCAGCTTCATGAGGTAGTCACCTGGAATGCATTTCAATTAACAGGTGTGCCTTCTTAAAAGTTAATTAGTGGAATTTCTTTCCTTCTTAATGCATTTGAGCCAATCAGTTATGTTGTAACAAGGTGTGTGGGTGGGGGGGGGGGGGGGGGGGGGGGGGGCTGGGTATACAGAAGATAGCCCTATCTGGTAAAAGACCAAGTACATATTATGGCAAGAACAGCTCAAATAAGCAAAGAGAAATGACAGTCCATCATTACTTTAAGACATGAAGGTCAGTCAATGCGGAACATTTCAAGAACTTTGAAAGTTTCTTCAAGTGCATGAAACTGGCTCTCATGAGGACCACCACAGAAATGGAAGACCCAGAGTTACCTCTGCTGCAGAGAATAAGTTCATTAGAGTTACCAGCCTCAGAAATTGCAGCCCAAATAAATGCTTCACAGAGTTCAAGTAACAGACACATCTCAACATCAACTGTTCAGAGGAGACTGTGTGAATCACACCTTCATGGTCGAATTGCTGCAAAGAAACCACTACTTAAGGACACCAATAATAAGAAAAGACTTGCTTGGGTCAAGAAAATCGAGCAATGGACATTAGACCGGTGGAAATTTGTCCTTTGGTCTGGAGTCCAAATTGGAGATTTTTTGTTCCAACCGCTGTGTCTTTGTGAGACGCAGTGTGGGTGAATGTATGATCTCCGCATGTCTATTTCCCACCGTAAAGCACGGAGGAGGAGGTGTGGAGGTGTGGAGGTGCTTTGCTGGTGACACGGTCTGTGATTTATTTAGAATTCAAGGCACACTTAACCAGCATGGCTACCACAGCATTCTACAGCGATACGCCATCCCATCTGGTTTGGGCTTAATGGGACTATCGTTTGTTTTTCAACAGGACAATGACCCAACACACCTCCAGGCTGTGTAAGGGATATTTGACCAAGAAGGAGAGTGATGGAGTGCTGCATCAGATGACCTGGCCTCCACAATCCCCCGACCTCAACCCAATTGAGATGGTTTGGGATGAGTCGGACCGCAGAGTGAAGGAAAAGCAGCCAACAAGTGCTCAGCATATGTGGGAATTCCTTCAAGACTGTTGGAAAAGCATTCCAGGTGAAGCTGGTTGAGAGAATGCCAAGAGCTATTTGAAGAATTTCAAATATTAAATATATTTTGATTTGCTTAACACTTTTTTGGTTACTACATGATTCCATATGTGTTATTTCATTGTTTTGATTTATTCACTATTATTCTACAATGTAGAAAATAGTAAAAATAAAGAAAAACGCTTGAATGAGTAGGTGTGTCCAAACTTTTGACTGGTACTGTACATCAATAAAACATTTTTTTTTAAAGGCACAAGTAGCCTACATATCAATACCAATACATACACACAAACTATCTAGGTTGGTTCCCACATTGTTTGACTGGGTGGCTGATTAGAGTATTGGGGCTCTGTGGGGCTCTGCAGATTGCTCAGAGTAATTGGGTCGTTCCGGTGTTTAGATGACTACAAAGGCTAGGAACTGAAAGGCTAAGCAAACCTTTGTGATCCACTCACTCCCAAAGGGGAGTTGATCCTTATCAAGGTTGCCTCACATCTGGTGGCTTAATGAGACTAATAGCCCCAGACATAGCAGGGTTTTGGGCTTTGCATAGCAGAACTGTGTTCAAGTAGTATTTGTTTTATTGATTGCGCTTGCTTGGCATAATGGAACTAGTGGAATAGTCCCAAATGTATAAACCCTACCCATCTGGCACTCAATCAAACCCTCAAAGTATTTGAATCAGATCTGGTGGACGAACTATTGTTAGCATTTTCCTGTTGATTTTTTGCTGTACTGCACCTCTTTGAAGTTGTCGAAGGCAGAGAGTATGATCTCATGACCTCCTCTAACCAGACACACTGCAGCCAGCAGCTCCAGAACCAGGGCTTTTGTCCTGTAGACAAAACAAAAAACACACTGTATTCCACCTGTACGTGGTTCACGTCCACCACACTATGACTTTGATAAGATTACTCTTTAAAGATATGTCATCTCTCCATCGACTTTATACATTCCAAACACTTGTTAAAGCACTGCATGAAGACAGAGAAGCTGTAATCCATAAATCCATACTTTGATGTTTAACACCCACATAGAAGCAGGAGAGCAGGGGCTGGTCACGGCTCTAGCAGAGCTTATGCTAAAAGAGGTCATTATGAAGGGATCAGCTCCCACGCTTTAACACTGTAATCCCCTCTATACTAAACACTCCTCTAACACACTGGATGTATAACAGGCCTTCGTCCCAAATGGCACCTTATTCCCTGTAATGCACTACCTTTGACCAGTGCCCTATTGGCCCTACTCAAATGAGTGCACTAAATAAGGAATAGGGTGCCATTTGGGATGCAGCCATGCTTTTCCAGGCTAGATGTATGGTTTTCATTCCCAACTTCACAGAGAAGCCGATGGGTGGGAGCCCCCAACTTCACAGAGAAGCCGATGGGTGGGAGCCCCCAACTTCACAGAGAAGCCGATGGGTAGGAGCCCCCAACTTTACAGAGAAGCCGATGGGTAGGAGCCCCCAACTTCACAGAGTAGCCGATGGGTGGGAGCCCCCAACTTCACAGAGAAGCCGATGGGTAGGAGCCCCCAACTTTACAGAGAAGCCGATGGGTGGGAGCCCCCAACTTCACAGAGTAGCCGATGGGTGGGATCCCCCAACTCCACAGAGAAGCCGATGGGTAGGAGCCCCCAACTTTACAGAGAAGCCGATGGGTGGGAGCCCCCAACTTCACAGAGAAGCCGATGGGTAGGAGCCCCCAACTTTACAGAGAAGCCGATGGGTAGGAGCCCCCAACTTTACAGAGAAGCCGATGGGTAGGAGCCCCCAACTTTACAGAGAAGCCGATGGGTGGGAGCACCCCCCCCCCGGCTCATCCTCACTTGTGACAATGCTTCTCTCTGCACTATCTTGGTTTGCATATGAACCTTTATAAGAATCTTTCAAAATGGCTATACTCAAGCTAAGGAGGCAGGGTCAGCCCGAGTTCTGCTTACCTTGAGTTCCTATTGTTCAGACTGAGGGCTATTTCGTTGACTGCGTGTGCGTGGGACATCACCAGGTTGAAGCCATACTGGAGAGAGGAAATAGAGATAGAACAAGATGTGGTCAAACAGAAGAACACTCCACCACTCACCCCTGTGGTGGCTCATACAGTAAAAATCACACTCATCCACAGCAGACTCTCTGACATCTCTTAAATAGAAAATTAGGCTGCATTTGCCCTTTTTTGTAATGAGAGAGAATTGTGATTTGTGGTTATACTGTATATTGGTGACAGTGGGATTGCTTTGATAGTGGATATCACCAGTCAGTACCTGGTAGTTCATTATGGCTCGCAAGCACATGATGCAAACATGCACGTCGTCCTTCTGGCTCACGAGTCGTGAGTTCTTAATGGTTTTGCTGTTCGGTGCTGTGCCATAGCTGCAACAGAGGGCAAAGGTCAACAACAACATGTTTTTTATTCAACGTTTAGTTATCATACTACAACAACAACAACAACTTATGATTCCACTTCATTCTTCTTGGTTGATCTGAACAGTCAGAGCCCATCTTCATTGTGTGTTCATATTGTGTGTTTTCTGTACAGTATCTGGCAGTCATGTGGCTGCATCTACTGGGTTTGTGCTCCACTACCACCAAGCTCAACGTGAGTCACGGAGAGTATTTGGCAGAGCAGAGGGACCCGAAATGGCCCCTGTGGTTACTGATGCATTCTGGGTGGTTTCCTGACACCTGTTTGTCCCCAGGCTGATGTCTGCTTGTCACAGAGCAGGCTATCCTCCACATCCTCTCATCTTTCTGTCTCTCTCTTTTTTTCGCTCTCCTTTTTCTCTGTTTTCATGTCTATATCTTTTCTGCTTCTGCTTTTTGAAACAGAGTCTCCTGGGTCTCCTCTCACTGGCTATGATGTGCTCACTAGATGAAGAATCACAGGGCAGACGGCCCACATGTGGAGCTCAGAACAGCTGGGCCTAATCTGTCCATGACAGAATAGTGGAACACATCTGGATGGAGGAAGACCATCAAACATGGAAGGAAACGCACAGTTCAGGTGGCCAAAAACAACCATTCTGTCTCCTTCAATGTAACAGCTCCTTCACCTGTAACAGCATACAGATGAACCCACAACCCCCTGCAATGAGTTCAGGAGTGACGACACATACCCCATCACTTATCATCTTATCCTATCACATCCTCTCCAGACCGAGACCGCTCAACATCATGGCACCATCATCATCATCATCATAGCAGAGGACTAGCTGACATGCTAACATATGTTTGGATGGCTACCTGATATTCTAACATGCTAACATACGTCAGGGCCAAGGGTTAAAGGAGCAAGGCACAGTAACAGCAGCAACACAGTAGCAGACGATACGTACCGGAGAACAGACTGGCGCGCAGAGCGGACCAGCGTGTTGCAGAAAGGCTGAGCGCCACTCTGGTGTAGATCCTCTATAGACCTACTCCAGGATTTAGCCTTGTCCATGGAAATCTCCTCCCCATTCTCCAGACCCTCAAAATTCAACCTGGGCCACGGACGGACAGACAGGCAGACAGACGGACGGACGGGTAGACAGACAGACAGACAGACAGACAGGCAGGCAGGCAGGCAGGCAAACAGAAAGACAGATACATAGAAAGACAGAAAGAAAGATGGGCAGACAGGGGGTCGAGGTAGATTAGGTTAGAAATGCAGCTTGGTAAAAGATCAAAGGTTATGTTATACAGTAGAACTGCACAGTAAAAGTCTGCACAGTAAAGCTTAGTGCAACACAGAGTTGAAAGGCTCAGTCATTCCCATTCAGGCCCAGTCCATAATATGCCAGCATGGCAATATAAAAGCACAGACATGTGGCTCACAATCAAGTCCAACCTATTTATTCCTCGTGTCACTATTTCTATTTCATTTTGTATCTTTATCTTTAACTTTGCATTGTTGGAAAAGGACCCGTAAGCAATGTTCCCTCTGAGCTGCGCGCGCAGCCTGATACTGCCACACAGAAATATCAGCCCACAGAGAGAAGCACGAGATTAAACTTTCTAGAGCAGTGGTCACCAACCAGTCGATCTCTAAGGCATTCCTAGTCGATCGGCAAACATTTCTGTAAAAAACCCAAAGATAAAGCCTTGTGTTCCTATTTTTTTTTTGTCTAGGGCTGTTGGCGGTAGGTGCACCCGATTCAGCTGCCCTGCGCGCCAGATAGGCCAACTGTTGCCATTTTGAACCATTTCATGTGTCTGAAGGCACAAACTCTGCCTTCCTGGCGGGCCCAGAGAGCAAATCAAGTGCACTATAGGCCTACCGCTGGCCAATCGGATGGCTCACATGACCGTGTCTGCAGTTACGTAGCAGGCATAAAATAAATCTACAGCAAAGTTGATACTGTGAGATTTCAAAACGTTTAAAACCATGTCTAGAGAGACACTGTCAACGAATACAGCAAAGAGATGCTGTTTTTATGAGTGAGTTCATGTTTAAGTTCTTACTCAGCACTGTCAACACTTTGTATTCAACACCGTATAAGCCGTAACATTTGCGTTCTTCCTATTTCCACTCACCGCTACAACAAGCACTGCAGCAGTAATGAATGAGTAGGAAAGTGTATCTATAGGCTTGTGTTGATGTTATTAGCGGCTTGGGTCTTTTTTTATATCGAGGAGTAACAACATGAACAACTGTTCATAGGAGTAACAACATGAATTTGTACATAATGAGGTGCGACTTGAGTTTCGCCATCAGCTGGAAGACGGTGTCCCTTTTGTGTCAGTGTCAGTGGAGGAAAGGGAGAGTGGAGGGATGTTGAGAGGTGGACCCTCAGTCTGCTGCTCTCCCTCCACTGAGAATTTCCATCAGATGCAGGCACCATCAGCCCAGTAAAATGAAAATAAAAAGCTAATTATTTAAATGTAGCTCACTCAGCTGTCCTTCACAAGTACAACAACGGATCTATTACCGATGTGAATGGCCAGAACAACAATGCATTGGCAGGGCAATTCAAGCAAAGCCAATATGCGGTGGTAATTGTATTGGGCCTATAGCTTACTGCACAATCCTCATTGCTACAGTACTGTTTTTAATTGGTTAATTTCTCTGTAATAATGGTATGGGAATAATAATGCATTTGTAAAGTGGTTTCTTGCATCAAACAACACAGTAACATTTTCAGTCACCTCCTTGTCTGAAGGACAAGTGGATAAACAGGTTAATGACAAGCCCTGCATGTTTTTTTTTCAAAAGTCTCATGGAATGTAGGCCTACATTGAACACCACACATTGGCTGCTACTGTAGGCTGAATGATAGAACAGCTATTTCCATGTTAAAATGTTATGTGATGCATTTTCTCAATTTGTTTTATGGTAGGCTACTCTGGTAGGCCTACATTATGATCAAATAGCCACACTGTTAAAACTGTAACTTAAAGCAGGTACAGCCTCAGTGTTCACAGTAAACGCGCCAGAAGTTGCACAGAATTTTCACAACGTTCAAGTTTATGCTCAGCAGCCCTTAAATTTGCTCAGTGCCAAAACTAAATTAGAGGGAACATTGTCTGTAAGTAAGCATTTCACTATTAAGGCATCTGCATACTAGGTTCATACTCCCTAAAAAGACCTTAGCTTGAAAAACGAGAAAAAAGCGGCAATAGTACTCTGCCCTACCAAGCAAAAAGGCAGTAACTGCTCATAGCGTGGAACTGAGAAAAATTGCTTTTATTTACCTTGGTTTCACAGTAACCTTATGCAGTTACTGCTAACATGGACCCCATTTTCTCCAAAACACAATACAATAGAGGCAGGATACTTGTCCACATGATTAAGCATGTATTTAATGTAGCAAAAATGACATTAACTCATTTTCGACCAAATTAGCAGTTACTGCCTTTTTGCTTGGTAGGGCAGTACTGTTTCTCCCTCTTGAGATGCCGTAGCCAGTATACACTTCCTCAAAATAGTCTGAATTAATCTAAGATAACTCAAGAAATCTGTACTTAATTTTGACGTCTTAGTAACGCAATTGTACATCTAACTAATATGTTTGGTGCAGTATTCCTCAAGTGAAAAAAAGTTGCATGAAAGCGAGTCGTCTCTCCTTGAATGACAACAAACACTTCATTGAAGAATCCCTGCTGTTGACCAATCACCGCAAAGGGGCGTAGACTTCAGCTGTGTGCATGAATAGCCGATAAAACCCTTGCCGTAGACCAAAACGAAAATAACAAAAATCACTAAATGTCGTCATAATATATGCACAAACTGTTTCGGATTGGGAAGGATGCAGACAGCTTTAGTCTACACCTGTTGTTAACGAAGCATGTGACAAATAACATTTGATTTGATTTGATTTGAACCACTCATTCAGTCTGCCAAGTATGCAGCATATGAGGCCTACAAGCACACCCAGGCACATTCAAAGAAACACAATGCTATAAGGAATCCATCCAGTGTGCTATTGCCCATTCTTACAGACACAAGACTGTGTCCTTTGCTCCTATCTGTTTGTATCAACACTTCTTGGATCCAGTGCCAATCTGGTTAGGTAGCTAACTACTTCCAGTCTCTTCTGAAGATATGCTAAGCTTAGCTTAGGTTGTGTGTACTCACATGACAGCACACTGAGCAAAGGACAGGTACTCCACCAGGATATCCAGACCTCTGTTCTCATCGTTTAGGAACTCCCGGACCCACCTGGATGACATGGGACATGGAGAGAGAGGTTAGCAGGACAGATTATTCAGCAGCCAACACACCCTTATCTGCTAGTGATGGATCATAACTTACAGATGTAGGATCTTAATTTGAGCCAGTTTGCTACAGCAGGAATATAATCAAGTAGCAAAAGGAAATGTGAATTATTATGTGGATTATAATTAATGGACATTTTTGTAGGGGTTTATACATTCTTGACAAGGGAATATCAAGTCTGAAATGTCAAAGTGGAAATGTCTAAGTTCAAAAACTTCAGAAGCCTTTTTAAACCTCAAATACACTACAAGTGTTACATTTATCCTGCAACTGGGTGATCAAATTAAGATCCTACATCTGTAGTAGGGCAAGGAGTTTCCCCCACAATACCTGACCAGGGAAAAACTCTGGGCAAAGAGGAAGGAGAGAGGAACAGAGAGGAACAGAGAGGAAGGAGAGATTAACAGAGAGGAACAAAGAAGCAGGAGAGATGAACAGAGAGGCAGGAGAGATTGATAGAGAGGCAGGAGAGAGGAACAGCGAGGAACAGAGAGGCAGGAGAGAGGAACAGAGAGGCGCAGAGAGGCAAGAGAGATGAACAGAAAGGAACAGAGAGGTACAGAGAGGAACAGAGAGGAAGAAGAGGGACAGAGAGGAAGAAGAGTGGAAGAAGAGAGGAACAGAGATGCAGGAAAGAGGAACGAGAGAGGAACAGAGAGGAAGGAGAGAGGAACAGAGAGGCACAGAGAGAGACAGAGAGGGAAAGAAAGGCAGGAGAGAGGAACAGAGAGGAGCAGAGAGGAACAGAGAGGAAGGAGAGAGGAACAGAGAGGAACAGAGAGGAACAGAGAGGAACATAGAGGAAGGAGAGAGGAACAGAGAGGAACAGAGAGGAAGGAGAGAGGAACAGAGAGGAGCAGAGAGGAACAGAGAGGAAGGAGAGAGGAACAGAGAGGCACAGAGAGGAACAGAGAGGAAGGAGAGAGAAACAGAGAGGAAGCAGAGAGGAACAGAGAGGAAGGAGAGAGGAACAGAGAGGAAGGAGAGGCACATATAGGAACAGAGAGGCAGGAGAGATGAACAGAGAGGAACATAGAGGCAGGAGAGAGGAACATAGAGGCATGAGAGAGAAACAGAGAGGAAGGAGAGAGGAACAGAGAGGAGCAGAGAGGAAGGAGAGAGGAACAGATAGGAAGGAGAGAGGAACAGAGAGGAAGGAAAGAGCAACAGAGAGGAAGGAGAGAGGAACAGAGAGGAACAGAGAGGAAGGAGAGAGGAACAGAGAGGAAGGAAAGAGGAACAGAGAGGAAGGAGAGAGGCTCAGAGAGGAACAGAGAGGAAGGAAAGAGGAACAGAAAGGAAGGAGAGAGGAACAGAGATGAACAGAGAGGAAGGAGAGAGGAACAGAGAGGAAGGAAAGAGGAACAGAGAGGAAGGAGAGAGGAACAGAGAGGAACAGAGAGGAAGGAGAGAGGAACAGAGAGGAAGGAAAGAGGAACAGAGAGGCACAGAGAGGAATGAGAGGGACAGAGAGGAACAGAGAATAACAGAGAAGAACAAAGAGGCAGGTGAGGAACAGAGAGGAACAGAGAGAGACAGTGAGGAACAGAGTGGCAGGCGAGAGGAACAGAGAGGCAAGCTGTAAAAGCCTACATATTTGAGTCTACATCTTGTAGACTAAAGTCTGCTCAAAATGGGGTCCCCCCCCCCCACTCCCCTCCACCCCCACTACATCCCTGGCGGAGAGAAAAAGGACTTGGCAAGGCAGCAACGAAAAGTAAATGCGAGAGAGCACGGCTTCAGATTTTCTCTTCATTTAATTCCAGTTTCCTGGAGGGGTGAAAAAGAAAGTCCAAACAAAGGAATTCCCATTGCGATGAGAGAAATAATATGGAAGGCATATGGAATGGCTGAGAGAGAGAGGTCTGGGCTCAGGTTGGAGCCCCTGACAGTCACGGTATTAAATCTGCCTTCCCCCTTAGCCTCAAGACCCCTGCTCCCCCCTTAGGAAACCACAGGGGAGTGGAATTGTGTGAGGGAGAGAGAGAGAAGGGGCGTGAGAGAGAGAGGTGAGCAGAGAAACAGAGGAAGAGACAGAAGCAGTGAGATTGGGTGTAGGGAGGAGTAAAAGGGAGGAGGGGGAGGTGGAAGGGGAGGCGCGCTTGATCAGTTTCCTTTCTACCAGCCCCCCTCCCTCCCTCTCTCCCCTCCCTCCTTCTCTCTCTCTCTTCCTCCCTTCCCCTCTCTACTTCCCTTCCCCTCTCTCCCCTCCCTCTCCCCACCTTCTCTTCCTGTCCAACCAGATGCTATTTCAGATTGTTTTGTCAATCGGAGAGGGGCTAGGATTCGGACACACGCAATAACCATGGCTCTGTTCCACTGACTCTATTCGACCCACTAAACTACAGCCTCTGTCTGAAAATAGCATCCCCATTATTTTCCTATGTCAGAACACAGACTTGTATTGATGAGGGAAACATGTAATAGGTCTTATTCTTGGAGCCACGCCCTGAATACAATGACAGATCACAAAGAACTCTTCTAAATACGAGAGTATATTTTAGTTTGATTTAAAGGACATCTCTAACTCACACCCATCAGAGGTACAGTAAGTATCTGTCTGACGTCTGATTATGACATCAGTTAAACAGTGTGTGTGACAGAGAGGAGGGTGGGGCTGAGAGAAGGTTTCTCCAAACTGAGTATTTTTCGTATATGTGTGAATTTGTGTATGTGTGCGTATGTACGCGGACCTGCGTGTGTGTGTGTGTCGTGTACATGTCCATACCTGTGTGTGACTAAAATGTACAGATGTGTGTGTGTGTGTGCATGTATGTGTATGCGTCTGTGTACCTACGTGCGTGAGTGTGCATGTGTGCGTGCGTCCATGCTGCATGTCCGTGCATGTGTGTGTGTTTTTCACAGGGTTCATCGTTGGTCGGCCATGCTTCCTGTCCCTCTGGCATACACAACTAAGCTTCCTGCTCTCTACTATTTTATGGGGGAGTGGACCATTCCTTTCCTAGCAGCACAATACAATGACTACCATCTGGGCATTGTGAAGAGGAAGACTGGGGAGGCTGGGGAGGCTGGCAGGACAAAACAATAGGAGTTAGGAGTGATCTGGGCATCAGGAAAACAAGCTGTAGGTCCCTTGGACAGGAAGAGGAAGAGGAAGAGGAAGAGGAAGAGGAAGAGGACAGAAAGGCCCTTTCTTTCTTAAAGGGGAAAACAAAGGTCATTCTGAAAGGGGAGATCATGGAATTGTTTCTTCAAGAGGAAAACAAGGGTCATTCTGAAAGGGGAGATCATGGAATTGTTTCTTAAAGGGGAAAACAAGGGTCATTCTGAAAGGGGAGATCATGGAATTGTTTCTTAAAGGGGAAAACAAGAGATGAGAAGAGAATAGAAGAGAAGAGAAGAGAAGAGAAGAGAGGAGGGGAGGGGAGGGGAGGGGAGGGATGAGAATAGATCATCACCCTATGTGATTAGTCCTCAGTGATATCTCCAGTTCCCTCAGAACCTTAGTGGATTCCTGGACCCGCCTTCGGAACTTCTTGCGTGTGACTCCTGGGTCTAAGTAGCCCCGTAGTTTGGAGATGTAGGTGTGAGGAGGGTTCTTCACCTGAAACCGTTCCTAGTAGAACACACAGGGAAGAGGGAGGACAGAGTCATCAGTGCAACGTAAAAGGGTTCAAATCATTATGCAGTAAAGAATAAACCTACACTGGAAAAATAAATGGTTCTATCAAATCTATCAACATTGCTTCATAGCTATTGGTTTCTGAATAGACTAGATGTGTGGGTTTGTAGAGGTGTAGGTGTGGGATTGTTCACTTGTAGTAACCTACATGTGTTGTAGTGTTTAAAGGAGTTTACCTGGTCACAGATGAGGTCCCATTTCTTGTCATTATCATACTGTCTGAGGAGTCTGGCTTTGTCAGGAGGAAGGTTCATGGAATTCTGAAAACACAAGACAAGATTTCATCAGCCACACCCCAATGCAATATCAGTTCACACCGCTTTGTTGAACCATTCATTGATCATTTCATCATAATTCATGATTTCATGACCGTTCCAGAGCTGATGACCCTGCCTCAGTATATTGTGTTGTTTGAGGCCAGTTTAGTGTCTTTTAGTTCCTTGGGTGGGTCAACACGTCCTCTCCCGAATCCTTGGCAGTGACACAGGCCTATGACCTCACTTCCTGTTGACTTGCAGCAGCCTGTTGCATGAGCTCATCCAAAACCCTCCTCTGTGTTCCAAATGGCACCCTATTCCCTATATAGTGCACTACTTTTGACCAGAGCCCTATGGGCCTTTGTCAAAAGTAGTGAACTATACAGGGAATAGGGTACAATTTGGGATGCAACCCTCCTCTGCGGTTGGTCGCAACAAGCTTCTAAAACCTTCAGTCCGACTACACTGCACTTTTTAACCACAGGCTATACAGGCTACAGCCTCTCTGTCTCTCTATCAGCGAGGAAATGGCTATTATTACTATCTTATTACTATCACTTATCCAGCAATAAAAACACACAACATGAGAGCTGAGAGCCACAGGGCAGGCAACATCACAGTTTTAATACTATGGCTCAAATGAGGTAATTCAACATGATTGCTCTAGACTCATTTGTTGTTTAAGTGTGTGTGTGTGTGTTCCAGAACACAGACTATATGACATGGGCCTCTGTGCCTCTGGTTAAAGACTTCCTACCATGAGTCATGAGCCCATAAACAGAGGTCAGGGTTCAACTCTGAAATATCTTAAATACCAGGAAGTGCAACAATACGTGGCCATTAGCTACAGCTAGCTCCTCGCCACCTAGTCAAGTGTATCTGATTGCCTCAATGCTTCTCTGTGAAGAGACCATGAAGACTTTGCTCTGTTTTCTCATATAGCCTCAGACTCAGGACCCCCCATTTTACAGCCCACATACAGAGCACACACGCGGTCACGCACGCAAACTAGCATACGCGCACAAACACACACACACACCAACACACACACACCCACAAAGACACACACACCACAAACTGCCTGTCAGCTTGACCTGTATAACTCACCCCTGGCCTCACCCGGCCTCTCCTCCTGACACACACAAGCAATTTCTCAAATCATCTTTCCTCGTTCATCTTTCCTTCTTGCATTTTCTCTCCTCGCCTCCTTCTCAAAATGCACTGGAGGAGCTGAGGTGAGATACCTCCAGTACGGTTGAGGAGGTGAGGAGATAGGATGAGAGGAATTGCAGAAAGAGACAGAGCCACACTAACTGAGCTTTAACAGATCACAACCCAGTCTATTCATGATCCTCTGGACCCTTTAACCATTAGTAGCAAGTATACTGCAATTCAGCTTTTAGCTGTGAATGTGTACAAGATTAAATGTACCAACGAACCAATAAACCATTCTATTAGTAACACCAGCATGTGGGGTGTCATCATGCCCCATGGACTTTCCTATGCCTTTCTATTCATATCCCTACAATGATTCATAGCAGTGGAATATCACATATAAAGTGTATTTTAATGTATTTTCCACAGTGCAGTGGGGTGATTGGATCTTTCCATCAGCAGCATGTACAGCATGAATCATGTTGGACTGACTGTCTGAGGTGATGAATGAGGACTTCGGCACATTGCTTCTGTGCTGTGGAGTACTGCTGAGGTAGCCTGAATCACTGAATCACATTGACTCAGTAGTGAAACAAACAGTCTGGATATCCAGGCTACTGCTGAGGAAGGGTAACATTGACTCAGACTTACATACTCTTTGTTTAAACTCTAAAACCACATTGACAGAAACAGCAACTATAATCATTGATCCTTTGAACGTCTACAAAGAACTAGTTACATTTTCTTTAAAAAAATAAGAAAAATAATACAAGATTAAAGAAAATAACTGAAACGGAAAGACTCTAAAAATTAAGAAAGATAATTCAACCAACAACAAAAAGTATCTGAGAACTATATTGGACCCTCGGGCCTGACTGTAGTGAAGAGATCAGTGAGAATCTGTTACATTAGGGCTCTTTGACAAGACATTTCCTTCCAAATGGCACCGTATTCGCTAGTGTAGGGCTCATAGGGCAAAAGCAGTGCACTATATAGGGGATATAGTGCCTCTGCCTTCCAAAACCCACACAGCTCAGAAAAAACACAGATGCTGAGCATTCCAGATCTCCAGAATTAGGCTACACAAGGAATGCGTCCTGTTTATAATGGTTACAAATTTGCTATAAATTCTCTCTCTCACTCAGTCTCTCTTTCCTCCCCCGCTTGTCTCTCTTGGGGGAGAATGTTATTTACCACACAGTTTTCTCTCACTCATTCTTTCATTCTCTCTCTCTCATTCTCTCTCTCTCTGTAGGACTGTTGATGTGTGAGCTGCCTCTCATTTATTCCAAATGTCAGAAACACATTGGGAAACTGACCACGAAGTTAAATAGTCAACAGTACAGTTCAACTAGAAATATTTCAGACTCTCAGACAAAACAAACAAAGCTGATGACACTTGTGCGTTACCACCAGTACAGTACAGTAATGTTGTTTACGACTTCTGTCAGCTTCTTGGGGGGAGTACGTATGGGCCTTGTTGGAGAACTACTTATGTTTGCTAAGTGGACTACAGCCCGAACCCATTTGTCTTTGTTTTGTTGCCCAGCTCAGCCTCAGCCCCAGCCCCAGCCCCAGCCTCAGCCCCAGCCTTAGCCCCAGCCTTAGCCCCAGCCTTAGCTCCAGCACCAGCCCCAGCCTCAGCCTCAGCCCTAGCCCCAGTCTTAGCCCCAGCCTTAGCTCCAGCACCAGCCCCAGCCTTAGCTCCAGCACCAGCCCCAGCCTCAGCCCCAGCTAGCTGTGTAGATCTGGGACCAGGCTATAGCCTCAGCCCAGAACTCATTTGTCTTTGGTTTGCTGCCCAGCTCAGCTCAGCTCAGCCCCAGGCTCAGCCCCAGTCTCAGTCCCAGCCCCAGCCTCAGCCCCAGTCTCAGTCCCAGCCCCAGCTAGCTGTGTAATTAAGAAAGACCCTTGGGGCATAATACATGCATAGCAGTGGAGGCTCCTCAGAGGAGGAAGGGGAGGACCATCCTCCTCAGTGAATTTCATAAAAATAAAAATGGTAAAACATTGAAAAACTATCCTAAATATATTCACGTCACCAAATAATTGATTAAAACACACTGTTTTGCAATGAAGGTCTACAGTAGCCTCAACAGCACTCTGTAGGGTAGCACCATGGTTTAGCCGGAGGACAGCTACCTTCCATCCTACTCTTGGTACATTGACTTCAATACAAAAACTAGAAGGCTCTTGGTTTTCACCCCCTTCCATAGACTTACACAGTAATTATGACAACTTCCGGAGGACATCCTCCAACCTATCAGAGCTCTTGCAGCATGAACTGACATGTTGTCCACCCAATCAAAGGATCAGAGAATGAATTTAGTACTGAAAGCATAAGCTACAGCTAGCTAGCACTGCAGTGCATAACATGTGGTGAGTAGTTGACTCACTGGAATTGTGATACAGTGAATTATAAGTGAAATAATCTGCTAATAGAGAAAGACAATAGTTGAACAGTTTTCAACAAATTAATTTCTTCAAAAATGAAGGAGAAGCAAGAGAGAGAGAGAGATTTCGTAAAAATAATTCACTTTCAGTTTCACTTACTTAACTAGCAAATGAAGCTGGCTAGTTTAGTTACTCAAACACCCGGCTCAAACAGAGGGATGCTAAGTTAGCTAGCTGACTATGACTATCCAACACAACACTGGAGCTCTTCCAAGTCAAGGTAAGCTTTTGGCTTTATTAATTTATTGCCACCACGGCCCGCCGGTGTAACTGCTTACAGACTATACACTGTAACGTTACTGCATGATTGTAGCGGGTTTACTAACGCATTAGTTCTATTAGCTATGTTGACTAGGACGTTACTTTAGCTAATATGGGGACAACGATGTAGGCTCTGTGTAGCGGTTATGATATGGTTTGGCTTGGAAAGGTTTTTTCGCCTGGTCACATACAGCTGATGTGTTGTTCATTGAAGTCCACAAACAAAGGGAAAAGGTGAGAGGAGGAGAGTGCGTAGAGGCTAGAATGAATAAACGTGGCTGCTATGATCAGGGGTGTATTCATTCAGCCGATTCTTACGTTTCTTAAAAGAAAGCAAACGAAACAGCGATAAAAATACCTGAATTTGTCCAATAGAAACTCTCGTTTGCTGTTGGACTAATGTTTACACCCTAGATAAGCTAGATGCAGGCAAGAGTGTGCAAGGCGGTATTGAATGTGTCACTGTCTGTCCATGTGTCACTGTCTGTCATCTCAAATGTTTCACTCGACCTGTGTGCACCTACGTTGTAAACTTTCATTCATAGGTTAGGTTGTAGCAACCTCATGATGGGTATAGGGAAAATTCTAGTATCATGTAGTAGCCTAAACCTATCGATGTTACATTGAACTGGGTGAATGGAATATGAATGACAGTCATCCAACATGCTGTAATAGAAATAAGGCCATTCTTATGGAGAAAAAAAAAGTCCTCCCTCATCATAAACGGCACTGACCGCCACTGATGCATAGAGCAGGGTTCACTACTCCCCTAATCTAATGCTGCTGTCCACTGGCCTTAAAACCAATCAGACAGACAGACAGACAGACAGACAGACAGACAGACAGACAGACAGACAGACAGACAGACAGACAGACAGACAGACAGACAGACAGAGAGAGAGAGAGAGAGAGAGAGAGAGAGAGAGAGAGAGAGAGAGAGAGAGAGAGAGAGAGAGAGAGAGAGAGAGAGAGAGAGAGAGAGAGAGAGAGAGAGAGAGAGAGAGAGAGAGAGAGAGAGAGAGAGAGAGAGAGAGAGAGAGAGAGAGAGAGAGAGCATCCTTTATCGGAGTTATTAGTTTAAATCCTAAATAGCATCATTAATAAGTCTCAGTCAGCTAGATGGGCCATGGCCTTCCACTCTTCTATCTCTATCTCAATGGAGAGTATTAAAGCAAGGGGGCATGGCATAGTTGTTTTGATTCTTGTGAAAATGTTTTAATTTTCCAAACATTAACCTTACAAAGAAAAACAAACAGTTAACAGCAATATACAGTGGAAGTCGGAAGTTTACATACACTTAGGTTGGAGTCATTAAAACTTGTTTTTCAACCACTCCACACATTTCTTGTTAACAAACTATAGTTTTGGCAAGTCGGTTAGGACATCTACTTTGTGCATGACACACGTAACTCCAGCAATTGTTTACAGACAGATTATTTCACTTATAATTCACTGTATCACAATTCCAGTGGGTCAGAAGTTTACATACACTAAGTTGACTGTGCCTTTAAACAGCTTGGAAAATTCCATAAAATGATGTAATGGCTTTAGAAGCTTCTGATAGGCTAATTGACATAATTTGAGTCAATTGGAGGTGTACCTGTGGATGTATTTCAAGGCCTACCTTCAAACTCAGTGCCTCTTAGCTTGACATCATGGGAAAATCAAAAGAAATCAGCCAAGACCTCCACAAGTCTGGTTCATCCTTGAGAGCAATTTCCAAACGCCTGAAGGTACCACGTTAATCTGTACAAACAATAGTACGCAAGTATAAACACCATGGGACCACGCAGCCATCATACCGCTCAGGAAGGAGACGCATTCTGTCTCCTAGAGTCCTATATCAACAAAACCTGAAAGGCCGCTCAGCAAGGAAGAAGCCACTGCTCCAAAACCGCCATAAAAAAGGCAGACCACGGTTTGCAACTGCACATGGGGACAAAGATCGTACTTGTTGGAGAAATGTCCTGTGGTCTGATGAAACAAAAATAGAACTGTTTGGCCATAATAACCATCGTTATGTTTGGAGGAAAAAGGGGGATGCTTGCAAGCAGAAGAACACCATCACAACCGTGAAGCACGGGGGTGGCAGTATCATGCTGTGGGGGTGCTTTGCTGCAGGAGGGACTGGTGCACTTCACAAAATAGATGGCATCATGAGGAAGGAAAATTATGTGGATATATTGAAGCAACATCTCAAGACATCAGTCAGGAAGTTAAAGCTTGGTCGTAAATGGGTCTTCCAAATGTACAATGACCCCAAGCATACTTCCAAAGTTGTGGCAAATTGGCTTAATGACAACAAAGTCAAGGTATTGGAGTGGCCATCAGAAAGCTCTGACCTCAATACTATAGAAAATGTGTGGTCAGAACTGAAAAAGCATGTGCGGGCAAGGAGGCCAACAAACCTGACTCAGTTACACGAGCTCTGTCAGGAGGAATGGGCCAAAATTCACCCAACTTATTGTGGGAAGCTTGTGGAAGGCTACTCAAAACGTTTGACCCAAGTTAAACAATTTAAAGGCAATGCTACCAAATACTAATTGAGTGTATGTAAACTTCTGACCCACTGGGAATGTGATGAAATAAATAAAAGCTGAAATAAATCATTCTCTCTACTATTATTCTGACATTTCACATTCTTAAAATAATGTGGTGATCTTAACTGACCTAAGACAGGGAATTTTTACTAGGATTAAATGTCAGGAATTGTGAAAAACTGAGTTTAAATGTATTTGGCTAAGGTGTATGTAAACTTCCGACTTCAACTGTATGTATCTACTCTTTGGTCCTGTGATCTCTTCAATGAAAATGAAAAGCCAAACAGCTCCATGTTCAGGCTTGTTTACATCTCCCCTAATGGTTACAATATGGGGAGTACATACACAGGTGTGTGTGTACGTCAGTGGAGGCTGCTGAGGGGAGGACGGTTCATAATAGTGGCTGCATCGGAGCAAATGGAATGGCATCAAACACATGGGAACCATGTGTTTGCTGTATTTGATACCATTCCACCCATTCCGCTCCAGCCCGTCCTCCCCAATTAAGGTGCCACCAACCTCCTGTGGTGTACACCTGCATGTTTGTGTGTGTGTGCACATACAGGTGTATGAGTATGCAGCAGTTTAGTGTTGCTTTAAAAGCAGGACAGACAAGAGTAGGACGACTACTTGACTACGACAACGACTCGACTACGACAGTGTTCCTCCTGCCTCTCCGGGCCCTCTGACTGCTGTCTGCAACACACACAGAGACAGAGAGGATGTTTCCCCTCAAGGTAGAATCTGGTAATTGGAGCAACATAACCCAATTTAGCTAACTTAATTTGACTTTCTACTTCCTGTGTTTACAAGAAGAAGCTATGGAAAGTATTAAGAAAGTAGTACTTTTTTTTACTCTTGAAATAACACTACTCCAACAGAGGTAGTACCTCTCCTGAGTGTTTTGGAATAAGGAAGGAAAAATACAGTGATGCAGAAAGAAACTCCAAAAATGTGATCGTTCCACTCTGCCCACCACATCTCCCCTGCAAACGGCATTTCTTGTTTGACCTGAGATTGATCGGCCTGCTTGACCAAGGAGTGAAAACACAGCTTTGTTTTGATTCTGTGAAGTCAGTGCCATTCCCATCCTTTGACATTTGAGCTATTTTTTCCAATAGCATATTGCAGGACAATAGCCAGTGGGCAGTGATAATATGTATCCCATTGATCCCGAGAGGCACACACAGGGCCTGAGCCTGGTAACAACACTTCCCTAATTCACTACACATCCAACATGTATTCTCATAGCCTTGTCCCAGATCTCTTTGTGCTGTTTTGCCAATGACTGTAGGAGTTGGCAGGACAGAACAAACAGGTCTGTGGCAAGGCTTTTGTTCTCATACTGTCTATGATCCAACCTGACCAGCTATAGCAGTTCTATTATCACCAGAAGTATCTGACTAATGATTAGGCTTCCATTGTAATCATGGGACACAAGGACCAGAATGGGACTAATGATTAGGCTTCCATTGTAATCATGGGACACAAGAGCTAGTTTCAATGGTGAGTCTAGGGTCTGGGGAAATGCAATAAACACTAGTACAGCAGAATTTTTTTTAGCACGCTTTCAGCAACGATGGTCGATGCGTAACCAGGACAGTTCAGTACATGTTGGTCCGGCTCAGTTGTGTGAAATGCCCTTAGATCTGAGCATGTGCAATACACACTATAGAATACTTTTCTAGATTGCTGTCTGAGGTGAGGTCATGGCGGCAGACAGTTCTGCTCACCTTTGACCTTCTTTCTCTCTCACTCTCTAATTCCCTTTCTGTCTTACAGATGCAGACACAAATCAACTACTCACGCAAAAGCGGTCGGAAAGAGTAAGCGAAGGGGGAGGCGGGCGGGAGGCAATAACAAGTCAGCTTAAAGAGGGAGGGAGGGAGGGAGGGGAGAGAGAGAGAGAGAGAGAGAGTAGAGAGAGATGAGAGAGAGAGAGATAGATCGTAGAAAGAGGAGATCTAGACTATCGCTCTCTCTATCGTCGCATCTTCTGCGCTCTCGCCGTCTGCTACAGCGCGCTAGCGATCGCGCGCGCTCCTCGATATCGAGAGAATCGCTCCTCTAGAGAGAGAGAGACCAAGTACCACAGAGATTCAGCACGCAACACAGATGTCATAATCACCAGGGAACAGGGACTTCATCTGCTTGGGGCGGCAGGTAGCTTAGTGGTTAAGAGCGTTGTGCCAGTAACCGAAAGGTCACTGGTTCTAATCCCCGAGCCGACTAGGTGAAAAGTCTGTCGATGTGCCCTTGAGCAAGTCACTTAACCCTAATTGCTCCTGTAAGTCGCTCTGGATAAATGACTAAAATGTAATGTAAAATATACACCAGTCTCTAGCCTGATTTCCACTTATCCTCTAGTTCAGTTTATGACCTGCAAAGCAGCCAGAGTAGTAGCCTTGTCTGAGCCAGAGCAGCCCATCGGGCAGGAGCCTCCTGTTTCTGGAGTGTGACAGGACACTAGTCTACTGCAGGGCCTTAAAGCAGCCAGAAGCTCCCAAATGAACTACTGAGGGAAACATGGAGGACCAACAGGATGTTTCACAAGCTCTTTACTTTCCCACAGATCCAACACCTACAAAGGACAGATATACTGTACCAAATTAGACCATTAGTCATAGACAACTTTCCAAATGGCACCCTATTCCCTACATAGTGCACTACTTTTGACCTGGGCCCATAGAGAATAGGGTGCCATTTGGGACACAACCATAGTCTCACACAACCAACCGTTTAGTACTACGGTCCTATCAACAGAGCTTCCTCCCATAGTCCCATGTTCTACTGAAATAACACTAGAAAAACAGAGATGTGTATTCCTGGAGCTAGAGGACTTTCTAGTTTGTTTTGTTTGATTGTGTTTCTGGTTGGTGTCCAGATATCAGACATCAGTTTATTTAATCAAGATCTCTGTAGTACAGTCTCAAACACAAACAAGCCCAATAAAGAGCTCTATGTTTGGGCTAAAACCCATGTAAATCTAGGAGTTATTAAGCAAATTATTGCATAGTGGGTAGGATCGTATCTCTGTTTTAAATCCATAGGCTGACCAAGTTTGAATGTGATGAATCTTCAAAACATAGAAATCTAGACTGAAAGCTGGATCCCAGTCACAGAGCCAAACTGATTAAATCTAGTTGAGGTAAGATTTTCTCTGATTGCTGAGAACTGCAATGCAGTTTGAACACTAGACACTACTTCTAAGAATCTGTCTACTTGTTTAAAAGAATGCTGGTTATAGATTACACTGAAAGCTGTCCCTGTCTACCTCACCCTGTCTACCATTTGATGTGCTGTACAGACGCCAGACATTGAGAGGAAAGAGAGAGGGATGGAGGAGGAGCTATCCATGTGTCAGCCCAGACACAGACAGACACAGAAGCCTTGTTTATACCTGGTCCAAACATGCGTCCTTTGTCCTGATCTTGTCCACATTCTACACATGGTATTAAAATGGGTCTGATATCTGTCCACTGTGTCCACATTGTGACCAGATTTCCTGGTCCCTCCTTGTATATAAATCATTTGGCAGATATTCTTTCAAATTAATATTAGATTATCTATTTTATGAAATATATTGATGTCATAAGTCAATGATGTCACCTGTCAATGATTTTAGAGGGTGATATAATAATGATTTAAATGGTTTAACCATCCAGATCCATCTACACTTGATTGATATCCAGACACAATGTGTGCCTGACTACCTCCAGAGGTGGTCAGGAAGATCTGATCACAATCAGATCACATTGTGTCTTTTAATCATCTACACCTATCAAAAAATGTGGGCACAATCAGGAAGTGGACATGTACAGGACAAAGGACGCAATATAGAACCAGGTATAAACGGGGCTAGAGAGTGAGCCCAAGACAGACAGACACTCCACTCCCGACCCTGACCGTCTGGCAGTGTCTGACCATCTCCTAGTCAGAGAAGGACTGCAGCAGACAAGACCTGATGTGTTTTTATGAGACAATCACACATAATTTATGCCATTTAGCAGACGCTTTTATCCAAAGCAAGTCACAGTCATGCGTGCATACATTTTACGTATGGGTGGCCCCTGGAATTGAATCCACAATCCTGGCGTTGCAAGCGCCATGCTCTACCAACTGAGCTACACAGGACCACTAAAAAATGACTGGCAGAGTACAGTATATGTGGTCTCCATCTCTGCCGACTAGTGACTTTCCCTTTAAAAGCGATCCCACTGTGCGAAACACTCGCCTAGACTGTGTCTGATAACACTTAAAAAATGGAGAGCGAAGCCCTAGGCTGGCCAATAGAGGAGGAGATAGGCTTAGCCCTGAAACACTTTAATAAAGGGTTTTGTCTGGTAAGGATGGAAAGCCTCTTCCTGTTGATCCCTGGAAGAAACTAGATCCAAGAAGGAACCAAGACTGAGCAGGCAAAGAAAACAACATGAATATGGCTTGGCCCTGGACCACTGGGTTTTCTTTAGACATTTTTACGGAGCACATCTTCTAAAAAGCAAACCCTATCTATTGAGTTTGGGCGGTGAACCAGTATTAGTGAGTGGAGTCGTCTGGATTTAGCTCAAGATAAACATCCTCCCCCCTTAAATAACAAGTGGGAGAAGACTCTGAGAATAGAGCCCTCCTCCTACCCTTCTCCCTTCTCCCCCCTCTCTCCT